TAAAATGAAAGCTAAATACCGTTATACAACATTAGTACCGTTTTTATTACTAATGTTTGTCATTGCCTTGTTGACTGAACTGATTCTGACCCTTTCGCAAAAGCAAATTATGTTCTCTGCATTCAAATAAAGTATTTCGAAATACATCCATCTCTCAGTATGTTTTTTTTTTAATCAATAATCCAATGCTTTTTATAACAGCCCACTTCACACTCCATTACCTGTTTTAGTTTTATAGTTATTTATATTATTACAAATACATTTAATGTAGAAAATATGGAAACGTATGAAAGTGTGCAACAAAAAAATAATGACATCCATTTATCGCTTATTGCTTTGTTAGTTAACTGTTTGCCACATCTTGTCCAACTTCAAGCTAGCAAGAAGAAAGAGCAGTATGTTTCCTTATGACGCAAAAATGTCCAAAATACGGCAAGAACCTTTGAGCGTTCTGATACGCTCGGAGTGAAGAGGGCAGGGGGATGAGCTGCAGGAGCCATGATGGCCGACCTGCTTTTCTCCTTTTCTGCTGTTTTTAACAAAGGCTTTTCTCTCTATCCTCCCGCCCTCCCTTCCTCCCTCCTCCTGGCCTAAGGGGCTGCTTGCGGCCCCCCAGACGCTTACAGACAGATGTCCTTGGTAGAGCAGAACACGCTCTGCTTGACGTCACAAGCAGCTACGGGGCTGTGAAGGAAGCTAAAGGGCTGTCTGCCCTGCAAAGAGCACAGTATAAAAGCCAGACCATGGGTCCAACAAAACACAGCAGGGAGCTTATCAGTATATAGACATAACATATGCCACTTTTGGGGAATACTTCCTTTTCCCAAAGAGCCTTGGTAGAGTGCATACATTTTAAACAAGGGTAGGTGGCTCCAGCCATAATCAACTCTCTTATGATGGCTCTAACCTTTGAACTGCTGCCTATAGCCTGAGCTATATTGAAGGTTATAATGGTAAGCATCTAAATTAACTAAAAACTTTCAAAATGAAAGCCTGGGTATGGTCAATGCTACAGGGAGGCTACTCAGGAGACATAAGCTGTATTTCCACCCAGACTACCCTGCAACTTTTAGTCCCAGGAACTACTTTTCAAGGAACTAAAAGGTTCCTTCAGCACATTCCTTCAATAAGAAAAAGTGACTGCTTTTTTAATACGTATTTTCTGTGTGCAACTTTGTCATCGTTCCATCGGTTGAAAACAAACTAGTCTGGGGCTGCAGATTTTTAAAAAATCCTGTACTTTTGTAAAGAAGTACCCCCGAGCAGGGACTTTTAGGAAGGTAAAATAATGTCCCTGGAACTTAATTTAGACCCTGGTCCCTGCGGTGGAAATGCAGAGTTCCTCCAAAGGTTCCCAATCCCCGGGGAAAGTTCCTGCAGTGAAAACATGGCTATACTGTATACATAGCACTAGAAAGTGCGGTCAATGCACTATAGACACTCACCTGACTGCTGGTATCTGTTGCACTGAACTTTGTAATCATAACAACGCCAGTTCAAGTACAGCCAGGGTCATTATTATTGAATGTTGCGTTCCCTCATTTACTATCACCTCTCTATCTCTAGCAAGTAAAGACAAAACACCTCAAAAAAATAATGAAACAAAACAAAAAAAACCCCACCTAGCTTATATCAAAAACATCATGTATAAAGGAATGGTTCTATTAATGTTACACTGGGTGTGTGCATAGGCAGACATGTTCACACGTTTGTCGGCACTGTCATGGCGTGGACATGAGCAGATGAAAAATGTAGGCCCCCACAGCTATGCCGATGCAAAATACATTTGTGCACTGCATAACAAAATAACATTGATTCAGCTCAAAAAAGTTCTTAAGTTAGTGTGTACACTCGAGTTAGGATCAAATCTGCGCGTACGACTGTTTCATGAATTTGAGGCCCAGTGGAATTTGTCAGTTGAAAGGGAAGATATGTTTCCCAACTTGCACAAAAATGAATTACAAATAACTATTTTGTGTTTCAAATACCAAGTGCCTGCAATCTGAAACAGTGCACCTTCCTGTGTGTGAGCTTCCTACTACTTCACATGAGAGTGTGTTGACATTTTACATATGAGTTTTATGCATGTCTGTAATCCATGGATCTCATTCACCTGACACCCACATGGCCAACATTACATGAACATCTGCGAGCTGCATCTTGAGGCCTTTCTTCATGTGAAGTGCCTGGCAGTTAGTTTGCTGCAGGGAGAAGGGCCATTTGCAGGAACCAATCAGGTTTAACTTCTCCATCTGCACTCAGACACTACAAAGAGACGAGTTCAGCCTCGAACTGCTAATGTAGCCAAGTCTTTGTGTTAAAACTGGATATAGGCATGTAGGATTTCATCAACAGACGTCAATAATTACATATGGTAGCATTTCTCCAGAGAAAATATTCTAATATTGAACATATATATGAAAATAGATTCTAATGTGTGCATGGTATTATCTGCTGTCATGTCTAATTGGCCTTAAAGGTATAAAGTTGCACTGTATTGTATTCAGTGTTGAATGTATACAGTGTAGTAGAGTCATATGCTATATGCAATAACCTTTATTGTATTAATCAGACAAACAATTTATGTTGTAGAATTGCATACCCATCTTCTTGAATAACAGATTATATTAAATCAGTTGAGACTGAACAAGTGTAAAAAATGCTCTGAAATTCAGTTTCATCATATTTTTCAACACACATAGGCTTCTTAAATATTCCAGAAAATCTGTTTGTGATTATATTATTTTACCTATGGAGATGAATTCAAAATACATGCATGAGCTAATAGTCTTGGCTTAGAGTATTCCATTTCCTCTGAAGCTGAGTATGTCAGAAGTGTTTCCAGGGCCAAGGACCAATTATTCAGACCCCTCAGCCATCCCTGGAGGTAAGGTCATTATGTGAGTGTCACTATCATGACCCTACGGTTCCTCTTCATCTGCAATTTATTTGCTGGAATTAAACCATGTAGAAGGAGAGTGTGTGAAATGTGTGGATAAATTGAATGTGTCTAACAGACTTGATGCCTTTACTTCGGAGTAAAAATTATTTTAATAAACAATAACATTTGCACTGCACATTTTGCCAAAGAAAAGTGTTTAATGAAGGAGCCAGAAATCAGTGTTAAGCAGATTCTGACGGTGTTACACACCGGAGTGTCGAGAGGAGAGTGGTGATCATTAAAAATACTGCTTATCTAAGGGAAAATTTCCTACTTTAAATGTTCTTTCGCTTTGTCTCATTCTATGCTGGCGTGCTTCGTCTAGCAGTCTTCTCTCTCCCTGTCTCTCTCCTTTTTTTTAACATTTAGATTCGCCGCTCGTCACCTTCTATTGATCACGCCTAATTTGCATCCAGGAAAAGATGAGAACTCAGATATTCACACTCCGAGAGAGGACGATGTCAATGATTTATTCATTTCCAAATCAAAAAAAAGAGTGAAAGGAAGGTAGATGAGAAGGGGAATCTTCATAGGCAGCAGGCGACTAGCAGGCTCTGAGGCTGGGCTCCTCTTCCCCACACTGCCCCCAGGCACATGGTGTGCAAGTCCTCCTAATTAACAAGGTGAATCATGCTGCCGCTCTCTAATTAGCCAACATGACAATCTAATGGAAACATGCAGGCCGAGCTGGCACACTTAGCATCACCTCACAAAGACCCCCGGTACTGTCCTTCCCATATGAATTCCACAAAAGTGACACCTCCGATTTTAAATGGAAAAGAGGAGAAAAGGTGGGGCAGGGCGGTTCGGGGAAGTGTGTTTTTGGGAGAGGTCAGAAGGGAGAAGTTAGCTGGTGAGGGTGAGGTGTTTTTCTTCTCCCCTCCCATCCTCTGTGTGCAGTGTTTGTTGCCTAATTGAAACGTGTCCTGCCTCCTGCCTCCCTCTCACTTATATCCAAGGCACAGGAGGCTGGCACCTCGCCACCAGCGTAGCTCAGCATGCCCAATTCCCCTGTCGCTTGAGTCCCAAGGAGTGCTCTGGCGCACAAAGAGAAAAGTGAACCTACAGGCTTGTACAGCAAGGAGACGAGTCGCTATCTCCCTCTGAGGCAAAAAAAAAAAAAATCTCCTTTTTTTGTTGTTTTCCTTCTCATTACAGCACTTTGTAATATTCGAAAACACACAGGAACACCAAAGGTACTTTTAAAGCCTGCTTCTTTTTTTCTTGTAATATGTCTTGAGGTGAAGAAAAGAAACTGAAGTTGAGACTACCGACAACAAAGCAACAAATAAAAATAGGGTTAGCGTACTGTTTAGTAGCCCGCACATCTTTAGGACCTACAAAACAGACCTTTCTTATGTGATAATTAAATTATCCACATCAACCCCCAGTCAGATCTCTCAAAACACATAGAAATCCAGTTAAAATTATATTAAATAAAAGGACACCTCCTAAACTAATGCATAACCTAATTTGTAAAAAAAAGAAAAAAAAGAAACAGGTTTAAAAACACATGATCTTTCCACTTGAGCATAATGTTCTACTCTACTCACAATGCCACGAGCTGACCATGAATGCTGCTGCTCTATTCATATTAAGGTACTGTGCATCTGTGAGGCCAGAAGACACAAATATAACTATGAATTGGGATGCACAAAACAGCAGGAATTCTCTTTGAAAGTCAGCACAGAAAGGGAGAGAACATGGAGGAGGGTAGCAGGCTTTTTGCCCTGGGGCCTGCCTACTGGGGGAGAGCGCCTCTTTGAGGAGAGCAGTTTGTGGAGGGCCAGAGGATGAGAGCCTATGAACTCCGAGATATAACTGGCCTTATAAAAACTAAGGGGCTGCTTCATTGTCCTCTGACACACAAGAGCCTCCCCTCTGTGGAGAAGTATGAGGCTCTGGCTGATGGAGCTTTCAGTGTGGGTGGATTCCAGTCTCCCCATGACCTGACCACTTGTGGAGGATGCCAGGCCAATCAAGAAACATATATGTGTGCATTAAAGCTTGGTGCATACTGGCAGAGCAGAGGCCGGTGATCTAAATAACATGCATAACATTAATGTGAACAATTCTTTATTATGTGAGTAATGAGGCAAAATATGCTAAATCTGACCATGGTTATGCATATGTCACATGAGTATTAATCTTATACGACTCATAGATTCGGACATATATTTTTTAGTAAAGCAGAGGATGTGTAGTAGGTTGTATAACTGCAGGCTTTTAATTGGAGCAATGTGAGGTTCAAAGTTGAGCTAGGGCGGAATTAATTTGGTAGGATTCAAGACATTTCAAGCAATGCTGGTGCATCAAAATGGGCAAAGAAAAATCTCTGAATGCCTGAAGAAGAAAAATATTTGAGGAAAACTATTCAAACAAAAACCTTCGAGATTCCTATTGGTCATCTCAAGTTTCAAGTCCCTTGGAATCACTCTAAGCAATAAGTGGAGTCTTGCTGTGAGGAACAATTGGAAAAAAAGCAATAGTTTATGATGGCTGGGTCCTTAACAAACTTATTTTAACAATGCTATACAGTGGAAATATTTGTGTTCTTGGCATAACATGGTTTGCTTTAGCAGCTGAACAGGTCCTAACAGGAGCTTTTGGCCAGATTTTGGCCAGCTGTGGTAGCCAATTTATCTTTCCCCTCTTCCCTCGTCTCTCTTCTCCTGTCCTTGCTCCACTCCTCTTCTCCAGTTCACTCGTTTCCTGTGTCCAGTTGTGCCTGCAGACGCGGTTGCGATGATGAATCTGTGGCTGCAGTGTGTCTGTGTGTCTGACATCGTGATGTATCTCTACTGGCCTTAACTCCCTCTCTATCTCTCTCTGCCTCCCCTCTCTTTCTCCCCCCCAAGTCTCCTTTGCTCTCCGTCTCTTTGTCTCTGTCTCTCTGTCTCCTTTCCTCTCTCTCTCTCATTCTCTCACTCTCAATGACTAGGCATTGCCTGGCCTCCTGCCTCAGTGATGGAACAGACAGAGCACACAGACCCACCACCAACAACAACAACAAACAGGAACTGAGCTCCACGATTTGCCCATTGATTTTCACTGGGGGCATTTCTGAAATAGCCCATCTGACCTTTCGGCCAAATGGTAGTGAATGGAGGAAACAGAAGCGCTAGACCGCTTTGCCTCCCTCTCACGCAAAAACTCTGTCTGAACAGCCTGCTCTCCTGGTGACATGGTTGTGGGTTAGATTGCTGGTGCAAATACACAATTAGAGGCCCAGCTACATAAATGTACAAGACCAAAATCCCAAAGCCCTGCCAGTAATACCTAGCCTAGAATGGTCATTACCCCTCAATACAAAACTATAGTACCATTGATTTTGGTATTTTTGGGCCTAATGTCATACTTTATCCAGAGACCATTTCTACAGGAATCATTAAAAACCAAATGTGTTATCCCCTTGGGAGCATAAATCTGCTTTAAAGTTCATGGCAACTTCATTTGCCTGTAATATTGTGAGATATGCTGTGTCCAGAGTTTTGGCCTGAGGGTAGCACAAGCCCCCTATTGTGGATTGTCCACAATAGAATGGTTTGATCTGCTGGGGAGCATGAATGTGCTCAGTGAATGTCATGGCAATCAGCCAATTAGCTCCTGATATTTCTTGTTTACAAGTAAACCTTTTGGCCTGATAGTAGCGCTAAAGGAAATATCAAGGAATTACAAAAGCATCATGATTTATCCTCTGAGGAACATGAACGCCAAATTCATGGCAGTGTGGCCAATGGTGGTCAAGATATTTTCAGAGTTTAAGTGTGAGTTGTACAGACTGAACAACAGGCTCAGAAATCCATGTAGGACGGTGGTGGAGCCTGAACAACACATTTTAGATTGTGAGGTTTAATCTAAACTTTTATTTTGTATTTTTCACTAATCTGCCTTTATTGCCACCATGTTAACGTTTATGGACTGTGAAAAGGTGAGAACTAATAATTCTGTGATGACATTAGGCTAAAGCAGAGACTGTGAGCAATGCTAGTTAACTGTAGCCATTGAAGCACCTGCTATGTGGCCTGTGTGGATCTACAAGGTGCAAGTGAAATCACTTTGTTGGACAAAAACACTTTCACCTACTACAACAACCTGGGTGTGACGAAGGATCCTAGATACACGTTGGTAGAGGGCTCCCTTCTCTGTTGCTCTTCCTGAGGTTTCTCCCAGTTTCTTGAGGAGTTTTTACTCTAAATAAAGGGTCTAAGAAAGTAGCTTTTGCATGTTTACAGATTGTAAAGCCCTTTTGCAATTTTGGTGTACGTTAATCTAATTGACGACTTGACATTCAACTTAAGCTTGACCCTTCATACTATACCATATTTATTTGTTGATCATGGGTTTATACCTGGTCACTGGACTCAGGTCTGCAGTAGTAGTTTCACAACACACAGCGTCTGCCTTTTTTAAAAGCAAATCATGTGCCAGCTCAATTTACACGCCAACACTTGGTTAAACTAAAGTATATAACAAGTTGTAATTCCATCTCTCCGAAATGATGATTGTTTGGTGGTGGTGGTTGTTTAGTGTGCGTGTGTGTGCGTGAGCAAGGAGACGGGCTTAAAGAGAGGCTGGCTCCTATGCCCATCGCCTGGAAGAGTAGCTCAGGCTCATTATCCTGATGAAATTTGCACAGATGTGTGAGCTGCCGACAGACTCTGCAGTGACACAAACAGCCAGCTCAGGTGATGAAAACCGGAGAGGCACGGGGGCTGAGAAACGACGGCCATTAAGCAAAAGAGAAAGAGGTGAGGGAGGGTAGAAGAGGGGTGTAGTGTGTGTGTGTAGTTGGGGGGCTGGGAGTCTTCCTCGTCTCTCGGGAGAAAGCATTACATAAAGTAACAATTTCCAAACCACCTTCTTAAAATTCCAGATGAAAATGAAAATGTGCATACGTGCGCCCGGCGTCTCCTCACGAGGCACTAATCTGGCTGTATCCAGATGACGAGCGGACTGCCACTTAACAGGGAGGAGATCCACTTTGATCACATGGCCCCTGGGGCAAACCTATCGCACTGCCTATTACGCTGCTTCATTTGCATATGTGGGGCTTATGGGTAGGCTGAGATCTAGAGTGAATGTTCTAAACTGCAGCAGGGCTCAATGTTGCTAGAAAGAAATGTCCAGGAGAGACGCAGAAAAAAGACAGAGCGCTGCCAGAAGCCAGAGGTAACAGAAGTCCACTTGTCACTTGAAGGTCACAAGTTCAACACCACAGACTCACTAAGAAAATCCTAAAGATTAAATTCTTTGGCCAGACAACAACACTGAGTTGCCCTGGAGCAAGGCATTTGCAGTTACCCCTAAATATAAATGGCTGAGTGGCCAACATTAAAAGACAGTGGTTGCACTGGGAAGCTGTCAGGTGGAAAATTGTAGAACTGTATAAGAATAAATTAGGGGTTAGTGAGAAAAGTGCATACGTGCTCAGTAAAGTTTACCTGGATGAATGAAAGACTTTTTTTAAAAGAACAAGTGTCTTAGAAGAAACCACATCTGCTTCTTAAGTTCTACATCAACAACAACAACAGGTGAATGGTGCTTGTTTTATCCTCCTGCATACTCAGACTACTCTATGGAAGCTCCACGCAATCCTCTTGATCCTTGTTAGCGAGCCAAGGACTGAAAACACCTAGTGAAGTTATTCTGGAGTAAACAAAGAAAAAAACAAATGCAAACTTCCGCTGTAACAGAAGTATATCGTTTGCGTAAACAACATTAACGTACCACTAAAAAGAAGAGTGGTCTACTTTCCGGGGTCCACTGGGAATTTTACCATATACAAGACCTGCACTTAAAATAAGGAGGATATAGCAACGTACTGCTTTACATCAGTCAAACATTTCCCAATTTGTAACCCTACGTGTTATGCCTTGGCCCATTACTTGAAGGCGGAAATAACTCTCTTGTAGCAGAAGTTAATATAAAGCATGGACTGGTACATCTGAAACTGTCATTCCCTATTCAGTTTTTCTTTTTATGTTCTTACTGAACTATTGCTGCAATTTGACTCTTTCCAAAAAGAAATAAAAAGAAAATGTTGTTTTTTTTACCATCTTTTGAGCTACACCATGATAAGTACGATAACACGTTTTGTGACAACAACAAAATTGCATTATCAAATATCATAATTTAAAGAAGGATTGAGATTTGGAAATGAATACAGAATAAACCTACAAAAGTGACTACAATTATGACTCATATCCTTCCCCTGATAGCCCATCTGTCAGAAAAGGGGTTCAAGGAAGTCAAAAATCAAACTGGTGCTGAAGATGAAGAGGCTAAAATAGACGAATAAAAGAAAAAGAGGGGGGGGGTGGAGGAAGAGAAGGTGTCTTTAGTGCACAGAAAATCATTTTCCACACATGGGCATCAATCGGCGCAAATAATTCTTCAAACTTTTTTAAGTCCGACTTTAAATGGCATTACATATGTAGTGAGGCATGAAAAATTAATACGCTGGAGTCGGGGAAATGTCAAGGGTAATGATCTCCGCAGCAGCTTACCTCCTTAGCTTTCTGTTTCAGTCGAGCTTGCTCTGGGTCCTCTTGCCTGGAGCGACTCTGTGGAGTAAAGGGGGGGTGGGGGGGACACACAGGTTAACAGCTGGTTTAAGGAGCCCACAACTCCCCCTCGCTATTCATCTGTTGCTGCTGCAGCAAAAATAGTGCAAAATGGGAACAGGATACAGAGGTGTCAAGGACATCGTATTTGAATTCAGAGAAGTGCAATGGAGCGCCCCCCGGGGGGCGGTGGCCTTTACACCCGCTCCAAATCCAGCCCTAAATAAGCCGCTGGAGGGGGATTCTAATCAAAAGAGGTTATTAAAAATTCTGCACGAGCCAGCACACTCACACAGTCACACACACATACAGTCACACACACACACACACACACACACACACACACACACACACAGGGCAAAGGATGTTGGTGAGTATCAGTGGCAGTGGCTGCGCGTGTGTCACTGTGAACCAGTGTGGCTATCGGTTGCTGTGTGTGTGTATGTGTGTGTGTGTGTGTGTGTGTGTGTGTGTCCCTGGCGTAACAACACAGCACTTCTATTTTAATCAGCAGCCAAGATCTGGGTGAATGTACTTGTCCCTGGGAATCCTTCACCACACAGCCAAATGTACATGTACGGCTGACCACTGCAGGCAGTATGGGCAGATTATGGTTCCATACACACACACACACACACACACACACACACACACACACACACACACACACACACACACACACACACACACACACACACACACACACACACTGAGTGCTGTTATGTTCTGTATATAATCTGTGTAGTTTCATTTTTGCTAGATTAACCAAAATTAGGTCAGGTCCACGGAAAACCTTTCTTTTATTGTCCATTGTGTAGTTGTAAAACCTCTTTTCCTCCACATTTCAGAATAGGCCCATATGAAGGGAAGGTCATGTGTAAAACAATAAAATGACCCTTGAATATATTTATTTGTATCTATCTTTTTTGGTTTTACTATATACTCAATTTCTCCTTCCAATATCAAATCAATCATTGTGAGTGTTCTAATCCAGGACCCCTTGCTCCTGCCTCAACCCTCTCCCATCCCTTTCTCCCCTTCCCCTCCTCATCTTCACTGCCTTATGGATGGAGAGCTGCTCCTCCTAGCCTTCCTGTTAATTGGCTTTAAATATATCAGGCGGTTCACGTACTGGTCGGTATCTCAACTAAGACTAATGTGTTTGCCCTCCGGTCGGCCGGAGCATCCCTCAAGACTTGAGTCATATTTTAAATGGACGGTGGAGGGGAGGGGAGGGTTTGTTGTGAAGGAAGGAGGAGAGAGGACGGGGGTGGAGGGGATTATTTTAGTGGGATTCTTATTCAAGAGGTCAAATTAGCGGGCGCTCGAGCAGGAGAGAGGCAGGCGGGCAGGCAGGGAGGGAGGTGGGTGGGTGGCGGAGGGGCGGAGGAGTGGGAGGGGTTGGTACAGATGGACTGTTTACAAAGGGCAGCGGTGCCACTGGCATGCTTTACATCTCCTCTGTCAGCTGCCCTGATTTTCCCACTTACAGGAGAGAACAGAGAGGAGAAGGGGAGAAGAGGACTGTGTAGTAGACGCTGACAAGCTTTGTACTGCCCTGTGCTTAAATAATAAAGACGGGACTCAATACTCCACTATATTGTTCAACAGTGTATGGTCAATCTGTGATAATCCAGGAGCTATTTCGTTATGCCATGTTGTAATTTTTTCGTCTACTTTTACTCCTTAAACCCCCACTGGGTTGTACTTTCATTTTGCTGTGGGTTGTGCTTCGAAAGAGCAAAGTTAACTTGATTATAGTAAAATACTATAATATTCTGTCAATATATATTTAGTCAAATATGAGTCCAGTGGGTGAAACTTATATGCCAATATATTTATTTATCAATATTGCTTTTTTTATTTGCTTTAGAAAACAAGTAAGTAAAGTAAAAAGATATGAAATATCCTCCAAATAACAAAAAATCAATATCATCAAATCTGCTTTTATGAGAGCAGAAATGTTGTATGTCAAGAAAAAGTGAGACGAGCCACTTAGGGAATTTGTCTTCTGGCTGCATAACATCATGGAGTTTCGAGGTTTATACAGTGATGGATATCTGCCTGTATCTTAATTGGTCTAAAATGGAGAGTGCTAATTAAAATGCCGCCTTTTTAAAGAACGAATGCCAAAAAAACCCCACTTAGGATTTGGACAGTTATCATTGGGAGCATGAAAAATAAACTTTAACACTGAAAACAAAACAAAACAAGAAAAGAAAAGAAAAGAAAAGAAAAGAAAAGAAGAAAATTGAAGGTTACATAACCGGTACATGTTTAAGTGTTTTAGGATGGACTTTGTCCACAGTGTTCTCATACATCATAAGTGATAAACATGCTTGTGTCTATACAATAATATAGAATAGTTAAATAGTAGAAAAAATACTATGTTCTCAGGCCATGTGGCAGTGAAATATACCGTACAATTATTAGGCAAAGATTTTCTTTCCAAACTTCTCCCTGAACTGAAACGCCATGGCAACAACGGCCAAAAAGCCAATGACATGGCTCAGAGGTGAAGTCAAACTATGCTCAACGATGATCATGCAATCCAAATAGCCCAGAGGTAAGCCCTTCCAATAAGAACTTGGCTAAATTTGCAAAAGTTCTTCACTAATCCTGTTAACGAATAGATCTGTTCACAGTGTAAAAAAAAAAAAAAAGATTACACTGTTCAACCATGCAGAACCGGGCACTGACAGAGGATATAAAAGCATCACACACTCCACAGTATCATTTTCTTGCTGAGGTAATGTCTTTTTTCACAACCAGCAGTGAGGCTATCTGGTCGCTCCTATAAGAAAATACAGACAGGTCATGAGGTTTGGTGGCCAGTGTTCATCAGCTAGAGAATTTTCTAATATCCTGCATGGCAGGACCGGAGTGTAATAATGCAATTAAGACGGTGAGGTGTGCAGCAATGAGAATCTTTACTGTGGGACATTGGCTCCATTCAAAATTAATTAAATTAACCTAGCTTTCTGCTAATGTTGCCCCGTGAGGCATTTTCATTTGCAAAAAGATTCTCTACCTTTTTTTTGGTCAGTAGTGATCTTTCCAAATTTGAAGACATTTTTTTTTTCACTGATAAACAAATGTCCGTACATGCACAGGGCCGGGATCACAAAGGGACAGGTGACAATGCAAGGAGCCTTTTTACTTTCTTGTGAGCTTAGTGCAGGTATTCCTGTTCTATATCTTTTATTGTGTGCAACAGTAATCTATCAACTGGACAACAGTGGCACACACTCAACAAACAATCAATTTAACTTTCATCCATAAATAAAAAGAGGATTTTAAAAATGTAGACTATGCACTCTATAGTGGGAAGGGTCCACACCAACTGTACTTCTTCCTAAAGGATTATACCAGTGATATTACAAACCACACAACTTTACATTACTGCTGATTATTTTTGAAAGTTTGTTGTAGTGTATGTTACTGAATCCTATTTGCATCTGATTTCCTTTCTAATGGTAATGTTATAGCATTTGTACAACAAACTTTTTCACGTACTGTAGCTTTACACAACAGCTTATCAACATGATAATATTATGTCTAGTGATTCACACTTACTCAGTACTGTGGGATTCAGCTGAAACACACAGAATCCCCACTACAATTTGTAAGTTTAGTTAATTAATATTAGATATGAAGCTTGCTGTGTTTCATATTAGAGTTTAAATTACTGTCTTGGCAGTAATGTCAGTCTAAGCAGCTACTTACTGTTAAAATGATGGCATTAGATTTATCTTTACTAAATATTTACTATTACAGGTCAATGAATTAACCTTTTATTATTATATATTATTCAAGATTCAGTGAGAAGTATTAGGACTGTTTTTAAAATGATGTGAATAACAATTACGATGAAGTGCACACTACGCCCCCAAAGCCAACACAGCTTCTCCCCAAGTTTGTAAGTTTGCCACCTCAAATATGTTGTGTTTTGGAAAAGGAAATCATAATATGTCTTATTACATAAAGTCATAATCTGTGACCATCAGCAATTTTATATGTGTTTTTGGAACATTTTTAGTACTAAACGGTTAGTGCTGTTTCTAAAGACCACCTCTACATCAAGCATTTTTTTCATTTCTGTTCACAGTTTGAACAACAGCAACTCTCTCTGTTCATAGTTATTAATACTGTTTATACCAAACATATATCTGAGAGGCATAATATCCGTTGTTGCTGTTGGAAAAATGCAATGAATCCTGAGCACAGTGCAATTTTCCTGTTGCCTGACACCAGATGTTTAGAACAACACATGTAAAAGCTGTATACAGTATATTGATATAGATTGATTGATTGATAGAACAGTCACATACCAGCCTCACTGACACTCTAAGAAATCTGTACTATTTTTTAAAAACTGAAGCTCTGTTTCACCTGAGCTGTCAATGCTCATGATAGATGGATGTTTTGCAGCTTGTGCATGGGGGAGAGTGTGTGTGTTGGCTGCATGGTGCATGGGGGTTGCATAGTGTACAAGTCGCCCCCCACCCCCACACCGTCCTCCTCACTGTGTCCAGGGAGGAAGAGCCAGGACAGAGGAGCCCTGGGGCCAGGAGCCTGGGAGGACACAGGGAGGTCACTTCATCCACTGGTGTCACACTCTAATTCATCTGTCAGGGCCTGCGCAGGAGCAACATGCGCACACATACACACAGCAATTCACAAAAACACACTGTTGCATGGGGACATAACAACTCTCTGTGACACACACCCACACATACGCACACACGCAAAGACAGGATGGTGAGGTGACAATAACTTACTTTAGCGGCTTTCAACAGGATCTCTCTCTCCTGCTCGTCCTTCCTCTGCTTCTCGATTCTCTCCAGCTGCTCGAAGAAGCGAAGCTGAGAGCGAACGTCTGCATTCTGCTCATAGCACTCATCATCCTGACAAGGAGACAGAGAGAAAATCACTGCGACGCCAACGACTCCCGTTCAACGGCTGCTGCTGAGGCTTCAGGCACATATTTCAGTAACTTCAGGGCAGCCCTCAGTCCATGTATACATACTAAATTATCTTAAAACCAAAAATATTATAATAACATCATCCACTGTAAATATATTGCTACAGCATCGATTTCATCCCAAGCACAGAGTATGGTATTAGAATATTTGTCTGACCTCAATGACAGAAAATTGAGAAACTTGAGACTTAAGAGAGACCAAGTTTGGCAAGATACTTTGTACTCTCTACCTATCTCAATATTTTATGTCCACTTTTAGTTGCAAAATAGAAATTATTGTCGTGCATTAAGGGGGGTCTCACAACATTAGTAAATTAACAATAGTCCTGTGACATAGTTGTTTTTACTATTAAATCTGCAACTACTGATTATTTGCAATACATTGTTTTTGTTCAATGAATCATTAACTGTATCGTGTTCTGGACTATTGCAGCACAATTTGTCAGACATCTTGTAAAATGACTTTTTTTGTACGTCCAAAACAAAAAGATACTCAATTTAAAATGGTTCAGAACAGAGCAGCAAATGCTAAAATTACGAAGTTGGAACCAGGATTTTATTTCTAGCCATTTTGCTTAAAATATTACCCCCAAAAAATACAGAATGATTATGAAATTGTTGTAGATCACTTTTCTCTCGATTGACATACATTGACACAGTAGATTACGCAACTACTCGTTTCTATTATTCCACAGTTAAATGTAAAAAATAAAATCCCTTTATGTTTTGACAATATATGGAAACACTGAAAACTGCCAAAAAAGGCGGTACAACAAAGTTTTTTAAGATGTGTGTGATCATAATTCACTGTGCTTGAGCAGATGCAAGGTCTATTTGTATTATAAGTTAGGAGGGATGATAAATAATTGTACATATTGTGTCAGACTGATACCGAATTGATAAAACCCTTCTTCCAGGTTTGATTTATTGTATGCACTGTAACTGTGGTGGAAGTGCTTGCTGTATCCTTGCCAACGCACAGATGTCACTTTAGGTCTACTCAATTAAACGCAGTATTGTTTAAAAAATACAGCGATACAGCTCCCATAGAAAAAAAAGGCGTAATGGACTACCAAGATTACAATAAAAAAGGTAAGGCATGCCCCGCTGATAAGCATAAAAAATACCTTCATCATTAACTTTACATTTGGTTAAACCAACTTTAAGACAGCTCATCTGGAACACCACCTGTCTGATCGCAACAACAGACTTGAACACACTAACTTTTTCTATTTACATATTTTTTCTATCTATTTATTGCTCTTTGCGTATGGTGCATCACCTCCCACTTGGGAAATGGAAAGTGTAAAAACAACTTTTGTAGGCCATCAAAAGTTAATAGGATAATTTCTTATTTCACATGTTTGTATGTGTATGTCTGTGTGTCTCCTATGCAGCTCTGTTCTCCTCTCGCACTTAATTTCTATATCTCTCTCTTTTCCATCTGTGTGTGTGTCAAGTCTGTGTGTGTGTGTTTCCATGAGTGGATGAGAGAAGCTGGGTGGCACAGAGCACAAAGACACATCAGAGGAGGCTCGTCGCCAGCACCCTCCACCCCCCACCCTCTCTCTCTCTCTCTCTCTCTCTCTCTCTCTCTCTCATCCAGTCTCCCCCCTCTTTGTTGCAGCGCTGAGCCTGCACTCTCGCCGTAGCTCCCACTGCCGCTGCCGAAGCCCGGCTGCTCTTTAAGGCCGCTTTGTCTTTTGGTCTTTTTCTCTTTTCTTCTTTTCGCTGATGTCAACAGAGTGGCTTCACAGAGCTTCATGCCTCTCACACACACCTCATTTACAAAACCACAAAAAAGGAAAAGAATGAACGAACAGAAGAAGAAGAAGAAGAAGAAGCGCAAAACAATATGGGGACAGCTGTAGCGATGCTCTTCCTCCCTCCTCCTCTTCCTCTCTTCTTGGTGTCAGGAAAAACACATTTTCAAAGTTTCCCCCCAGTTCTCCCAACAACGGCAAGATTTAGGCTTGTAGTCGAGGTGGATTTGTGCTTTAATATACACCAATTAAATGTGGTTGTATAGTTACATTCAAGGGCTACGAGAGATAAAGTCACCAATAACTAGAAAAGAACGCAGGTGTACGCAGACGAGCACTTAGAAGTTCTTTCATATTTCAAGTTTTGGCTGACTGACAGAAAAGTCTGAGCTCTCCTGTTTATCAACTTAAGGGTAAAAAATATTTCTCATATTAACTTCTATGTGTTTATGTGAGTGGTACACTTACATTTTTACACTTGTGAGGTTATGTGCGAGACAGATTAAAGCGCATTTGTGTGCATGTGAATTTGTGTGTCTGTGTGGGGAATGTCAGAGCACACAAGCCTGCCTGCATTCCAGTTTGTGTGTTTAAGGATGTGTGTGTGTGTGTGTGTGTGTGTGTGTGCTTGAATGTCCATGAAGTTTCTTTCCCCAACTCCAGTGCTTTCAGAGTTTTGGCCCAATATTTACAGTATATTTCCCTAGATAATGGTCGGCTGCATGGCACATATTTTTACTATAACCGAGGTTCATGAGGACAGTTTGACATCATATGGTTTGTATGTCCCACATCCTAAAATACGCTGCGGTTGAGGTCCCAGCAGATTTCTCTCCTTACTCTTTTCAATGAGCAAACTGGCATCTCAATGTCCAGCTGGTTTGACAGAGGGCAGGAATTTAACTTTCTCATTCATGAAGCACTGATTGTAAATATTATGCATGGCCAAATACATGGTAAATGGTCAAATGTACTGCAGTTATATAGCACTTTTTGACCTTAACAGACAAAGTGCTTTACAATTTGCCTCTCATTTACCCACTCATGCTCACACACTGATGGTGGCAGAACCACCATGTGAGGAAATGGCCTGCCCATCAGGAACTTGCAAGTCTTGCCCAAGGATACAACATGTGTACAGGAGGAGTTGGAGATGTGCAAGGGTATTAATAGGATCTCAATAAAATACTGTATAATGTTCAACTTTATCTGCCCACCTGCTTTCTGCCTCAGCAAACAAGTTCATTTCTACAGTTAAAAATCCAGTCTGAGTGGGTTTTGTACATTTGCGGTGACTCAACTGCCTCACTTTAGTGACAAGTAGGGAAGTAACGACACACTCAACTCACAATTCCACATAATTCATACTGGGTTCACGATATGATTTTCTCTCGATTTTTTTTGAGAAAAAAAGATTCCTTTATTTCTCAGAGAAAAATCTACAAAATATATATTTTCTTTATTTTCTTTAACTAATTACATAATTATTTTGTATATCTTTCTTTTCATTGTAAAAGTGAAACTGAAGTCTTTGTGCCTTGATACAGCTACTGATGCAAGTGATGTCACATGGTAGGACGTCAAACAAGCAAAATGTCCTCTGGTGTTTAAAAAAAGTGTTAGGATTGAATCTTCACATTTGTATTGCGATATATCTTTACATTCCTAGTGACAAGTTAACATAACAAAGCCGCTGCATCTTACAAAGTCAGCAAACACACGGACATTGCATTCTGCCGATGATTGCAGATAAAATATTTGCTTTTGTGTAATTATTTTTTTGTACATTACCTAGTAGGCTTAGCGGCTTTAAAAAATGTGGCAAGGAATCTGAAAGGTGGATCATCTGAAGTGCAGTGAGTTACAATAAAAAACTGATTGGAAATGGATCAAGCTTAAATTAAAATTCATTGAAGGACTCCAACAGCGGTCTTATTAGCTCTGGACATGCGTATGCATGTGTGTGTGTGTTTGAGTTGTGTTTGCATTCTTCCTACCTTACAGGAGTCCAGTCGGTGCTGTGCGATAGTAGAAACCTTTTCTACCACAGTACGAAGTCGTGACTGGGTGGCGTGCGAGATGAATGTCACTGCCTCCATAGGGACCTCTGTGACTCCAAACTTCTTAGCTGTGAAGAATACACGCAAACATAACATGAAACTTTTGCAATCAGTGTATCATTAGCATCAACTCGACAACTCTTTCTCACACAACAGGTACTGTTGTCGGTACTTTTGCTTCTCATAATTAAAACCAGATTTCTCATTCACCTCACTGATTCTATCCTAATTAAAATGTTGATCCTCCACTTTACCATCTGGGACTTTTTATAATAGAACCTTTATTCTCACTTTTAATTTACTACAGGGATAAACAGGTTGAGAGCGATTGTTTTATCATCACTTCTCTTGCTTCCACGATTTGTCTTTTTGGGAAAAACAACAACTAAGCACATAGAAGGTAATTGTTTCACTACAGACACACACACACACACACACACACACACACACAACCAGACAACTCATAAAAACACACCAACAGAAGACAACCCACAACTTTCAATCAGTACCTCCTCTCATACACACACCTACTGTATTCACACACACATTCACACTCAGCAACTGCCTGGATTGTACGTGCAATTAACTCCCAGAAATAAGACTCATCACACAGAAAAGTTAATTTGTTTCACAGTCTTAGTGCAAATTCCAGACTGGCTTTACAAGCTAAGCTCCTTCAAGTGTGTAAACGACATTGACCATCTCTTTTTCGCAGGAGAAGGATAATTTAGTTTCCTTGGAGCAAAACTCATCTGAAGTCATAACAAAGGAGAGGAGGACAGACTTTGGTAGGGTTACAATCTGTTTCCAACTTCCTTTTAAATTATTCCATTACCATAATTTTCTCTCTGGCACCCTTTTAAGTAAACCACACCAATTATTTAAATCAGCTGAACAATACATATACTCCACACCCGCTCAAGCTTTGAAATGGATGGAGGCAGCCCTGTTAGCCTTATAATTACAGCGGCTATACATGTGGCAATGTCACAAGGTCAAAGAAAAACACTAATAGGCTTCCGCTTTCTAAAAAATAAGATCTTTCAGGGACATTAATATTTCAGAGAAAGTTTAAGAGACGTAAGAACCAGAGAGCCACATTTCTTTGAGCAAAAACAACTGCTCTTCAACTTGTACTGATACAAATCAATATTATTCACCCAGAAAAAAGGGGCCTATAACACAGCTAGAAACAGACTAATGAACTGGGCAGCTTTAATATTTTTGCTTAATTTCTACACAAAAGCCAGTAAAGATAACAGGAATAACCTGCACCAAAGACTGTAACATCTCTAGCTGGGTGGGTATTTTGCATTTTAGCCTCTAAGGATGGCCATGTCAACAACTATCTCAGCAATTATTGGATGGAATCTAATGGAATTTTATGAAATGAAGATATCCATGGTTAGCAGACAATATATCCAAATGAATTTGGTAATCCTTTGACTTTTCCTCTAGCGCCACCATGAGACTCACATTTGTGAGAATGTTTTGAGTTCTGAGTGAAATGCCTCGAGAACTATTGGATAAATTGTCTTGAAAGGTTTGAAGGATTGATCTGAGTGCCACAATCTGTATATACTCTGTAAACATGTGTGCTAGACCATGAAGTGTTTTAAAATCAATGCGGAAACTGACAGGCAACCAATGTAAGGACTTTTTTCGGTAGATCTGAAAGGAGTTCATTACAGTAATCTATCCTGCTCAAGAAAAAAGCATGCATTACTTTCTCTGTGTCAATATATTTTTTAGGTGATAAAAAGCAGATTTAGGGACAAACCGCACATGAGCCTCAAAGTTAAGGTCAGGCCACATAAAGCTGTGTGTCATCAGCATAACTATGGAAAGAGATGTCTCCTGATGACATCATCCAGGGGTAGCATATTTAGATTAAACAATCATCAATCATACAATCGATCGTTGGGGAATGCCACAGGTTATTTTGGAGGTTTCGGAAAGAATATTATTGTAAGTTGTGACAACAAATTTCTTCCAGAAAGATAAGATGAACACCGTCCAATATGATCAAAAGCAGCACTGAGACTCAGAAGTACCAAAACTGAAGGTTTATAAAAATGTATCTTGATGTCATTGGCTACTTTCACAAGGGCTGTTTCAGTGCTATGATTAGCTCTAAAACCAGACTGAAACATTTCCAACTTATTGTTGGAATTAATAAATAATATTTTTTTCAAAAAATTTGCTCAAAAATAGAAGATTGGAGATCGGTCTGTAGTTACCTGGTATAGCCGGATTAAGGCTACTTTTCTTTAAATGAGGCTTCACAAGTGCAGTCTTGAATGCTGTGGGGAATGTGCCTTGTTGCATTGACTGATTAAAAATCATGAGGACTTCCTCTGACAATGAATGAAAACATTTCTAAAAAAGGACGTTGGTAGGTCAAGACTGCATGTGAAGGACTTTAGTGTTATGACTTCCCTGAGGTTTTCAGCATCAACTGAGACAAAACTGTACATACATACATACATCTATGCTGTAGATGTCTGCTAATCACTTTCAACACAACAGACATCATAAAGAAATCTAATGGAGAGACACAATCTGCATTGAGATCTGCTAACTTGAATATCTATTTAGTATAGAACTGAGTGGTGTCCATAGCAACAAGGGTCCCCTAAAAAGTATCTGGCAGTGAACATGGAACAGCTTTTGTTCAGATTGTACTTTATATATACTGTCAATATATTGTACAGAGAATAAATAACCCGCAAAAATAACCAATGGATACCATACTCTCGCAGCCACTGAACATGGTTATAAGCTTATTCCAGATCTACAAAACACACACAAACCTTATTAACAAATGTTACTGTCCTCTTGATGATCAGTGAAGGGGTAAAAAGTCGATTTTGTGTTCTGTGACCCGCAGTAAATTTCCCCATTGTAACAGTTGAATTGGAGGTTTCATAACCAGCCAGAGTCTCTTACATGGGCTGTGAGGTAGATGATTCCTCTTCCAGTCCACGTTTTTAAAAAACAACCATTTTCCAATGCAAGGGCCACTGTTCCTGACATCCATCCTTGAGAGCTTAACAATATCCACAGAGTTTGTGATTTGTTTCTTTCACTTTTTTTATATTCTACATTTACTGTGTTGGGTTACAAGGATTTATGCATGAATTGATTTAGGAACTGCATTCAAGACACAGGACAATGCAGAAAAAGGTGCAGCAAGGGCATTAAAGGGGGGGAAATGAGAATAGCATTTAGAAAATAAATAGTTTAGGGACATTAAGTCCTATTGTGTTGAGTAAAGCAGAGACAATGAATATTGTAGTGATACAGGTGTAATCTAATAGTGGATGTAGCATAAAATGCTACAGCATGGTGACAAAAAGACAATTTGATTATTTAGTGCTAGTGTCTGCTCCTATGACGATTCACTCCCAAGCATGCTCAAGCAGCTAACATTTGCATCATATCTTGGCTTTGTTGTGCTATTTAATAAAGTTAACAAGGTGGACTAGGTTAGATACTGTAGTTTAATAGCTGAACTGGTGGAAATTGTAATATTAGTTGATAATGCCATTATGCACTGATTAGAAACCCAGAGAGCAGGGACACATGTTGGAAGCCTGACATGTTTGTGTTGACCAGTGTTTTCCCCAGTAGCAGGTAATGCTAGTTTCATGGTAAAACTGACGTGATGTGAGCGTGGCACGAGGCACTGTCTTTGTTTTGAAAGTGAATCATGTTCAGGTTGCAGGAAATTATGCTGTGAAGTGAGCATTAGGCCAATCAAAGTAAACCATTTTTGTGTCAATGCTTTTATTTCTCTTCAGCCAGATTGTGCTATCAAGATATATTTGGGATGATGCTGAGGTAATAATAAACACACAAATGCTTATTCTAATATATTTCCAGGTCAGAATTTGATAATTTTAAGACATTTTAAATAGATCTAAGAACATGTGTGTTTCCTGTTGTGTGTGTGTGTGTGTGTGTGTGTGTGTCAGTGTCACGTCAGTCTTCTTGTGTCTGTCCACATGTATAAATCGATGTGATGAGCATGTAGGTACGTAAGGTATCAGTGGACTATCATTACTTTGAGGAGCTTTTCTAGAGAGCTCCAGCTGTGCCTGTGTTCTGGTTCCTGAGATGGTGGGATGGGGGGGTGGAGTGCTATTTTGCAGCTTCACAAATGAAACTGCCCCCCGCCTCCCGTCCCCTCCTCCCCAGCTCAAGGACCAGCCTGAAGAGTTATGAGGGGAGGGAGAGAGGTTTGGGAGAGGAGGGCAGCACAATGTTTGTTTGGAGGGGATAAATAAGAGAGGAGCGGAAACGAGACACAGAGAGACATAAAGGGGAAAATAAAGAAGGGGATAGAAAGAGGCAGCCAACGTCCTCTCCTGGAATCAGTGTTCAAAAAAGAAGAAAGGAAATAAAGGGGAAAAGAATCCGGACGTCTTCACTGATTTGAAAATACAAAAGTTACAAATAAAAGAACGATGCTGGATCTTTTTTGTGGGGGCAACCAGAGGGCAGGAAAGGTCACAGTGAAGTTTTAGCAGGATGTAAATGAGAAGGCAGAGGAGAGTTGAACTTGGTGCTTGTACAGTAGAGAGGAGCAGCCGAGGCTTTCTGATTGAGTGGAGCTGGCAGGCCAGGGGAGCCTCCCTCGGACTGCTGTCAGCTGAGAGCGTGGAGAGGCCAATCACTGACACAACAAAGCTGCATAAGTGCCACTTCCCCAGCAGGGGGCGCCCTAGCCTCCTACCCTGTATCATGCTGCGTGCCCCCACCCTGAGGAAAGATTTATATTTTTAAACAACCCCTCTGCCCCAAGGTGACGGGATAACAACCATGCCAAGAGTCCACGTAACGAAACATGACCCGCAGGCCTCCATGCTACACTAAAGATACTTTAATTGAGGTAAAACAAGATGAGGGCGCTAGACTCCCCGTCACGTGGAATTATGCTGTGTGTTTTTTGATCTGATGCACAGGAGCAAGATGCTAGGCACAGATTTATTTTGAGTAATAACGCTCATTATACGTTTTCACAGGTTTCACTATGCAGCGAAAGCCTAGAGTATATTTCAAGCTATAAAATTGACTGCCGGTAGCAAAAAGAGGTAATGAAGACACTATCACTCTCATGTGATGCTGCAAACAGACCAAGACTACTCCGCCTGTATCGATTAGCACACGCAATACTGTGTGCTATCAGAGTTTCAGGATCCACTAAAACGAGAGAAAGAATCAAAATCTCACTGCCAAGTCTCATTCCTCTAAACTCAGTTCCTTTAGTCCAGAGGACAATCTGACAGCAGCCTTCAAAAGACAAACCCATAAAGTATTTATGTGTGTGCCTGAGGTCCAGTGAGTTCAGACAGCCACTGAAGAATTCATTAAAGGAGGTGAAAGAATTGTTAAGTGTATCAAATTTAAACCGAGGCCAAACAAGAAAAGGATCAGCCTGAACCACTGAAGGAGAGAAAATCAAAACTGTCTTTAGTGATGACACTATAAATACAGCAACAACATGTTCCTAACACAAAAGACAACAGATAGTGATTTCATCACCACTACAGCCTGGATTTTCAGCTTTGGGTTGTCGTTTAGAGCAGAAGGATGGGGGCAAATTGATATAACATTAAGATTTGTTCCTACTGCTAAAATGAGAGGCTTCTCTAACTGCTGCTAAGAACATTTAAAAGTTAAATGTTTATGATCTGCAGCACACTGCAAGGCTCGCAAGGCACACTGATCTAACCTGTTTCCAATATTCGTCGGTGGAGCAGTCCCGGCTGTAGAAAGGCCTCGTCTTTACATGACCGGATCTGCGTTCCCACTAGTTCAGAGTTGGTGGCAAGTATTCTCGCGCTCTCCTCGTTCAGGTTCACCCCAGCCATGGAGGCCACGTCATTGATGTCATCATCATCTCTGCAACATGAGAGATGGAAGATTAGTAAAATTCATGCAATGGAAGACCTCTAGTTTAAAGTGCATTAAATCTCAACTAATTGAGCTCTACAAGAAAAAGCACTACCCAAATGCATTAAGTGATTCATTGGTATTGATTAGGTAAAAAAAGACTTTTATAGACCTCCAAATAAAAAAAAACATTGCATTGTGACACATTCAATGTCCTTAATCTGGTTAGGATTATGGATTTTTACATTTGAACACATCTAGATTGTTCAACGACACTCAAAAATAGACGTACAGGAGAGGTACATGGTAGTTTTTGTAAATAAAATAAAAAATGCACCTGTTCAGGGTGAACTGAAGGTAAAGTTACTAAAGTCAGTGAAAGTCGCACACTGATAAGGGCACCCAGATAGCGCAGGGGAAAGGCCCACTTGGGAAGCCATCTTTAGGGCTTGTGTCCTTGTCGCAGCATTAGCGACTCCTACTGGTTGACCTGCCATTTCTGCTCAATCCAGTATAGAAAAAGAATTCCATTTGGGCATAATGGAAAAGTGTAGCCTCATGTCCTAACATTATCAAAATATATTCTGAGATCCTGCTTGCATTCATGAATATTTCCTTGGATGACAATATGCATTAGTTTTGTTAGAGCGCTATGCTTTGGTCATAATGGCACAGAATTCCCATTCCAGGGTCTATTTGTGTCGGCACTCCACGAAGCAGGGAGATGAAGAGTGTTTGGATGGAGTTAAAGCTTGGTATGGATGCTCCTGAGGATTGGCACGGAGCTGTGATGAATCTTGCTATATACTAATGTCAGCAAACTCTGTATGCACGCCACTTTGACGCTTTTTCGTTTTGTATTTTCTTGATGTACTGGTCATTTCTCACAGGCCTAATGCTGACACATTGTTTACATGTTATTACATATAAGCAGAGGCATAGAAGAGGGTAAACAAGCAACATTTGTGTTTGGTTTGTTGCATTTGACAGTCAATGAGGTCCTCACATCCTTTCAAGGCTCTAACTTTCTTTGAGAGTTGTCAGCACGACAAATTCCCCCGCAATTATTGTACTTGGCAAGTAATGATTCTGATTCTGGCCTGAATTAGCTGAGCGGTGACGTGTTGTGCTTACAGGACTGGCCTAGAGCAAGCAAAGGATTTTCTGAGTGGCTTTGACGGAGGGAACAAAGAACCACAGAACACACACAGAGTGGCCTCTCGCCACTCACTGGCTCACCTCCACAGTCATTTACGTTCATGCCACCGATGTTGGTTGCGACAGAGCCTGTGTGTGTGTTGCTGTGCTTTTGTGTACGGTGTGGGCACACTTCGTCAGCCAACTCCACCCCGCCGAGGCCCTCCTGCTCCTTGATGCGGCCGCAGAGAGCCGATATGAAACTTGACACCACAGCGGGAGGTTGACAAAGACGATTAGAGCAACTCCCTGAACCTCGCACACCTCTACCTTCGCTCCTATTTTCCTTCTCTCCTCTAGCACTCGGTCTAATTATGCCTTCACAGAGAGAATCTACACAACAACACAAGCATGGATACGTAGGATTATACCCTGTGCTGCACCTCAGGCTGTGCACCTTTCTTCATCATGTCCTCATGGATAACTTAACCTGTCCTATAAAGAAACATGCCCGGGGTCATGTTCACTAAGGTAAAAAAGAAATGCTGTTGCTTTTCCACAGCTTCATATGCACCAGTCAGGTAGATGACCTTATCATGTGTGTTACACTGTATCGACAGCAAGCTGTGTGAAGAGGAGGAAACTCTACAACAACTGCCAGTGATGTTTTTATGAAGTCAGTAGTACATCACATGGTCTTCTCCTGGGTTTGAGAATAGATGACACACGTATCTGTTGAACTAAAGTCTCTTTGTCTCTCTCATTTATCTACCATGCAAAGCTAAGCAAGGCACCAAGAGTTCTGAGGTTGGCAGAGGACAACACAGGTTAGATAGGGTATGTGACTTTTACATTAATTCTTCCTGTCATAAATGAACTGGTTGGATGGATGATTTCAGTCAGAATTTACAGAACAAGTATAAATAGTCTTGATGTAAAAAAGACTACACTGAATCTATTGGGTAACATACAAAAAACATTAGCCGTAATATAGGGCAGGGGGCTGTATGTCAAACATCAAGAACTAAAATTATTATTATGAGTGTGAGTGTTTCTTTTTCTTGGATGGTCTGCTTTCTGGCTGTTTGGGACCACCGGGGCTCAAATCAAACGATAATGCCAAAGACAGGTCTGACATTAAAAGGAGGGTATGACATATGAAATGCAAAATATTCCCGACTATACCTCTGCACTAATAAAGCAGAGATGTAATTAGCTTCCACAGAAGCTAAAGAGCAGCCTCTCAGTTATTGGTGTGGGCTGGCTCAGGGACATGAAGCCGGCGGTCACATGAATACATATGCATGTAGTTTCCATATCAAGCTTGTGTTTCAGAGGGGGCACGCCATAGGTGGTGAGAGGATTGCATTGCCATTTTGAGGTTGTGTGTGTGTGTGTGTGTGTGTGTGTGTGTGTGTGTGTGTGTGTGTGTGTGTGTGTAGATAGAAGAGGGGGGGTACATCCAGATCTCCTGCACCCCTCCCTCCACCATCACCACCATCACACCAACCCCCACTCCTGTGGATAAAGGTCCCTGTGGCCAGGCAGGGGGCCCTGATTGATCCCTGTGACTAACACCCAGGCCATGCAGGCTTCGAGCACCCACACTGAGAGACACAGACCACTGGAGAAGTATTCTCCACAAAGCAGCCCGGGGTTCACTGGGCAGCTGACGGGATGTGTGTTCATGACCCAAATGGATGACAGCACTGGTGGCAGCAGAGGCACAAGAGGGGCCAATAAACCCAGCGACAAGCTAAATGCTGCTAGATGTTGTTAATTCAATGGACCACCCACATTCAAGCTGTAGTTATTCACAAGCATTAAAAAACTTGGCGAGGTGTAATGTGGATGATGTTCTGATGAAGGTGCACTGTATGTCCAAAATCCTTGGTTTGGTCTGTCAACAAAAATATATTAGCATTTCAGACTTTCCTATTTTCCTTTAAGAGCTTTGGCGTGCCGTCATTTACTTCATGGGTTTTTTGGAGCAACTTTATAATGGCACACCACCCGATCTGAACCTAATCTAATCTTGTGGCTGCTGTGTTTCCAAGTCTCTGCATCAACAAATTTTGGGAGGTCACTTTTAAGTTCTAATTGAGTCACATTTATTTGTAAAGCTTTTTTTTTTTTTTTTAGCAAAACAGGCACATCACAGAGCAATTTATAGAGCAACAAAGGATGTAACCACAAAGACAAAATGAACTCACTTTGCTGGTAAATGATGGAAAAGGGCTGGTGAAATTCACTGGCAACGATGATAGGTGAACACTTCTGTTCCTTATTTTGCATGTATGTCTGTGTGTGACTTTTCCTGTGCAACTATGAGCGTGTTTGGGTGTTTAGGCGCACTGTTGTGTGTCCACCATGTAGGACAGGGTTGGATTTGAGGGGCTGAGGCTGAGCTCGGAGGTTGGCAGAGGGCTGAGGGCCTCGGCTGGCTCGCCTGTGATTACAGCGGATGTCGAGTGTTTACAGAGAGATGAGGAGGGGAGGAGGGGGGTACAGAGACAGCTGCTTTCACTCTGTACTGTAAACTACACACACACACACACACACACACACACACACACACACACACACACACACACACACACACACACACACACACACACACACACAGGCACTTACACAGAAGGCTTTAGCTGCACTGGAAATCCCACAAGCCCTGCAGTGTGTATGTGTGTGTTTGTGCTACAGCTGGCCCGCTGGGACCAGCGGCTCAGAGTGACAGCCATACACACATCAGTCCCCCGACTACAGCTGAACACTGTGCAGGCTGGATGGGTGAGAGGCTGGTGGATGCTGACTGACCAGGCCAGCCCCACTCAGCGGATTTTCTTTTATTTCTTACGAGGATGTTTGCTCCTCTCTTATCTTAACTGTTTGTTGATTGAGTTTGTACTTTAGTATTACGCCAAAGACACTTGTATGAATAAATCTGACCTGACTTTGACTATATCGTGCTAACGGCATGTTGTGAGTGCTGAAGATCAAACTCAGTAGCAACTCACAGGGAACAACTTGTAAAGCGAATATAACTTCTGTTTTCGTCCACTGTGGTTTACAGGAAACCCAGCGGCCACCTCTGCTCACAGGTCAAGTCATCATGTTCATGTTGCAGGTTTCCGGACGCGGTGTGAAGACACAATGGCGTCCGACCGATCGCTTTGCAACACTGCGCTCAGTTCCAACACGTTTATATCCTCAGGTAAGAAAAACGACAACCAACAATAAACAGTGAATGAGGCCGAGAGGTTTCAGACACAAGTAACCAACTAAGGTCCAGCTGAAACCATAAGTAAAGAGTTTAATACTGTTGGCAGTGAATACTAAGAATAAAGATGAAAGTAAAAATTTATTTTATAGCAGTTTGAAAGACCTTCAGAGAGAATACTGACAGAGGAAGAGTGAAAAAACAAAAAATAAAAGAAAAATCAGCCTCAGCAAACTTATATTTGACTAAACTTAAAAATGTGTGTCAAGGAGTGTGTTGTGAAAGAAACAAACCTGCATGTAGAGACAAACACATGGACGGAAGCAAGAAGGGTGCTAAGGGACCACGCACTGTGTAGCTTGTTTAACATGCAAAGTGCAGAGCAGGCAGGCTGACTGTCACCTGACCTGGATAAAAGGAAAATATGCTACAAAATGTCAGTGACATGCTTCTTCCGTGATAGTGGTGCTCTGTGTTATTGGGCTTATGCTGAAACCAGTGCGTTTGTGTGTTGAGGGCCACTGTGATCACCGCAGGGGGAAAAAGGTCGTCAGTAACAAGCGAGCCTGACAGCTTAATTACCAACGCAGCTAAAGATTTATTGGTTTATCAATCAGAGCCTCGGGCGCTGCCTTTCCCCTCAGGAGACGGGAGCCATTACCATGAACCCATTGGCCCATGTGACCCAGACACTCTTCTTGCCCTGGCCTGGTCATGCCAGGGCAATCCTACACCCCTGCTCCTGTCAATACACGCATACACACATTTGATACACACACGCATAAACAGTATTCTCAGATTTTTAGGATATACACATATGTCCATGTGCACCCAAGCAGGGACACAAACAAACACAGAGAGGCATATATGCAAACATACATGCAAACGTATATGATGTACACACACAAACACAAATACACAAAGAATCACACACAATACATGGACCACAAAGGCCAGCATGTGGGCGATGAACCTTTTATGTTTTGAGACAAAAGCATAGCTGAAGCAGAGACGAGACCAGAGAGAGAGAGAGAGAGCAAAGCTGCAGGCTAAATACCGTATGTTTGACTTAACCAAAAGGTATTTTCAGAACCGCATCCAGAAATTCCAACCATCTGGACACAATTACCTTATTTCTAAATTAAGATTTAGCTCATTTGTAATCCTGTCGATGAGTTGTGACACTGACACAAAGAGGGCGATCGTGAGGGTGATCTATTGGTTGGCAGTGTGTTGCTATGTGGTGGGCGCAGGGAGAGAAAGGACCACCGATCAACCAGCCTGGCAGTTGAGACAGGCAGGCGGCCAGGTGGCCAGGCACTCGTAGCCTTAGCTGAGAGTGTAGCCTGTAGTCATGAGGGGGCATCTTAGTGAAATGCTGCCCCCATGTGATGGCTGCTAAGAACAACAGGCACTCTACAGCCGGCCTCCTGGCGAGATGTACCTGAAAGAGCCTCCTCCTGGGTCATTGAGCTTGTTTTTCTGATTCCCAGAGATCTGAACAGCCACGGGACTTTTGCCTGCTTGGATGATGGCTCCCTTCCCCATTGTGCCTGTTGAGAAAAGGAGAAAAAAAAAAAACACTAAACAAAACAGGAAAGGAGTAATGTTATCATTGAAGTGTCCCTTTCTATCTGCGTCAAATATCCTCCTGTCTAACGACTACCTTCAACTGTGTCTGTCATCCTCTCAGGGGTAGATGGAGGGGGGGGGCAGGGGGAGCGGTACTGTCGCTCTCCCCAGGTTGGTGCGGAAAGCGTCGCTCTGTCAATATCACTGCGCTTCACCGGCTCTCCTTACACTCCTAAACCGCATCCTGCTCCGAGACACATTTTCCAGAGAGGCACAAGGACTGCCAGAGTGAATTTAAACTTGATTTTAACAGGCATGTTCCTAGCCAAGAGGCACAGAAAAGTATTTTTAGAACTATCCCCGCATTCCAATTTATGGGCATAAAACAACCTACAGATCTTTTACTGCAGGCAATCTTGGGGAAGGGGGCAGATCAAATTTGTATGCACCTCTGATCGTACACACACACACACACACACACACACACACACACACACACACACACACACACAAAAGCAAAAGCAGGTACAAACACGTACACACATTACACACACCACCTGAGAGCACACAGGTCTCTTAGGGGAGCGTTACGCCCGGTTGGTGTTGGGGCGATTTTTGTGGGCTTCTGTGGGAAGAGTGTTTGTGAATCAGTGTGAGTAAGCAGCAGCGCAAATGTTTGAGAAGGCTTTATAACCAGACGGGAAAAAACACCTGTTCTCTCTGTGGCTCCTGTCTGTTTACACATCTTATAGCCTACTGAGAGAACATTTAGGGTTTCACTAATGGCTATCTTTGTTCAACCGATTTTGTTGGCTCTTCCCTTAACCAGAAGGTCAGGCTGAGTTTGAAAATCTTGAAATATCTGGCCCGAGAATGCAGCCTTACTGGGAGATGTAAAAAATCTGAGGCCAGAACCAGAAGAAAAGTGTGTGTCGGAGGACCTCCTCAGAGACTCTGAAACTCACATTTTCAGAACTCTTTGTTTAATCTTTCATCTTTAACTGAACCTACTTTTATCTTTTTCCCCACACATGAACAAAAGAATGCCTGGAATAATAATGTCAGACACTGTACATGTGATTAAATTCAGTAGGTCCAATCCTAAATCGCTGGGGAATGTCCTTACCTTGTGCTCTGACTGACTGTGTGATCACCATGGGCATCCGGACCTGGCCACTGACAGTGCCTGCTGTCTTCATACCCTGAGGAAGCAAAAAAATAAAGATTATGTACTTCACTGTGGTATTTCAAAGAATGAAACCATTTGTAAGCGAGAGAGGAGATTAAAAAGTCTGAAACTGCGGGTCTGCTGCATCATTTCTCCACTTATACGCCATCCCCAAGAGGAATTGTTTGTGGAGAAATCAACTTTTGCTCCCTTTTCAGACATAGCTGCCAGAAATGATCCGGAGACGAGCTGGCCAAGAGCCATATAAGTTTTGTGTACTGATTACTATTTTACTGTAACATACTAAAAATATCAGCAGTATAGATGCAGAATAGATACAAGCGTGATGAATTCTACAATGGCTATCTCCACACAATGTACTGTGACCAATTTAAATGCACAATGTGGATGGATTTCTGTCACTGTATGTGACCTACATTTGCTTGCATTTCCAGATAAGACAAAGGCAATAAGAAGTCAAGACTGCAGTGAAAAAGTAGTTTAGAAGAAGGAGAAGTAGTAGTGGTAGAAGAAGAAGGAGCAAGGGGGGTGGGGGGCTGTGCTGGGCTATTAGAGTCACTTCCTTCCTTGGTAGCAGCCACAGGCCCAGCCTCGGGCTCAGCCATCCATTCCTACCAGTTTGCTTCTTGCTGCATATTTTTTAGGCTTGTTTTCCATTCCCTGACACATGCTATATTACTGTTCAAGCTACTGAAAAAAGACAGAGGCCATTTTTCCCAGAGATCCACTGCAGGGGCCTGAGAGAGTGGGAGGGAAAAGGGGGGAAAAAAATACATTCAGCACAGGCAGAGATAGCTAGCACCTCTGGCCAGCCGGCGACACAGTTAAGAGGGGGGGAAAAAGTCAGGTAGAAAGTCTGTGAATCAGAGGGTGAAAGGGAAGACACTGAAAGTGAACTCACTGCTCATCTATCATTTCAAATGTATTTGTCCGCATTTTAAATATCAGAGTGATTTTAAATGTTAGATATAATTAACGTAAACAATTAATATACAGTATATTTTGAACGAGCACTTACCCATACAAATATATTGAATGATTAGTGCTAGTAAAAAGAAAAACAGAATTTAAGACTGGAGGGAGTGCTGCCCAACCTGCAGTTTGTTTGAAGAAATCATACTAATATTTCAAGCTGTATGTCTGTCAGGACCACACGAATTTGACTTATGCAACTTGAGATGCTGTAAAATGTGCTAGCACACATACGGCGCACACACTAGAGCTTAACTATGGCTAATAATGAGTGGTGGTGTAATTAAAAAAAATCTAAATGAAAAAAATTACATTTTAAAAAGACAATTTTATTAGATTTTCTAACCTAAAAAAACACAGTTGTACTTCACATCTCTTGGAACACAAAAAGACATAATTACATTAAATCAGAACTATATCGAGCTACTGTATCTCCAGTTACAGTATATTTACCTTTTAAAAATAACATTTTGTAAATCAGTGCATAATTGTCTACCCTTGTGCAGTGAGTGAAGTTATAAAAGAAAAATGAAATAATGTAACTCCACATCTACACACTTTAAGTTACAATCGCTACCCTTTACATCTATTACATTAACATTTAAAAATGTTCCATACTACTGTCAGAAATGTTACCCATACTACAGTGGTAAGAGCAGATCTTTTTAGCCTAATTCCACTAGCTGTCTGGTTTCAGACTGTCGATGTGCCGGGGGCGATCATTTACTAATGTTTTGTGTGATAGCTTATGTTGGTGTTTTATGCATGTGTGTGTGCGTGACAGAGACAGAGACAGAGACATAGAGAGAGAGAGAGAGAGGGAGAGAGAGGGAGACGGAGAGAAAGTGAGAGAGACCAGAGGCATGTTCTGGACATAGACTGCGGCCGCCACATTGCTTTAAAATTGACCTGGGGCTGACCTAGTTACCTCGCTCCACCCTTCAACGGTTAACGCGTAGAGGGAGGGAGTGAGCGAGGGAGATGAGAGAGCGATGTGGGGGTAGATACAGTGAGAGAAACTGTTTGAAAGAGATGGGGAGAGAGCAGAAGGGGGGAAAAGGAAAAGAGAGAAAGAAAGTGAAAAAAATAGTGAGGAAAATGGTGAGAGAAGGAAGAGAGGGAGAGGAGGAAGGAGGAAGGAGGAGGGAAAGTGAGAGAAAAAATGCAAAAGAGAAAGAGAGAACCCTCTAGCTCGCCCACCCCACTGCCTGGACCAATCTGAGTCTGACCTCACTTGACCCATCCATAGACGCCTGTGTGCACACACATACATACAGTATTAGCCACACACCCACATGGTAATGTGATACTGCTGCGAGTGGAGTGAGGCTGTCCAGTGCTGGACCCTGCAGGTAACCTGGTCTTACTTCAGCTGTATCCCCACACTATCACTAGAAGAACAGCTCACAACCTTGGGTGCTACTTGTCCAGTCGCCAGGGGAAAGGCTGATCACTGACTGGGATGGAGCTCGCAATTATCCTCGGTCGAAAGATGTTCGATGATCCATATTGAACAATGGAAGGAGGATATTTGGTTAAGGAAGACAACTACACAGAACCATATATACTGTACATAACTTAATTTACAGAGAAGGCAGAGCTCCCTGTGTGCTCAGTTAAGAAATGGTTACTGCTGATGAATGAGTTAGATAGATAAAAAGACTTTCCTGAAGAGTAGCGATTATGTGTTTTTGGTATGTTTAAGCATGTATTTAATTTTGTGTTTCATTGTTTGAAATAGAAAAAATCCTGAATTGTTTTGGTTTTCTGAGGGTAATACGTTTCGATGCCTCTTTAATTAGGAGATTTTTGTTTTGGCAAAAAAAATGCACGGCAGCTAAGAGAACACTGTATGGGTAATAATATAACAGGGCACTTCTGTTGTGTTAATTGAGTCTTTTGAAATGTTCCCTTTTTTAATACTGTGCAATATAATTTGTCACGTGGCCATCCTGGTTGTTGACGCTGTCTAGCGTCTTGTCAGCCAATATGGTGAAGGACGCTTGAATAACAGTCAATCAAGAGTCACTATACAACGCTGCATCTCATCAATACAGTATGTAGGACCCATGACGTGCATTCAATGCAGATTATTGAGTAGAGTGTGTTTTTAACCATAGGATAGGATTAGGGTATAAATCCTGTCTCAGAAAGTACCCTAAGAAAGTGTCCTTGAAGCCCCAAAGCGTGGAACCTGTATGTGAATAAAAAATCATATCATATTAATGGCATACGTTTTTAACCCATTCATTTCCGTGTCCCCAGGCCAAAACTCTAAGAGCAGGCGGATAGTGCCGCAACTGCTGTTTGCCACTTTCCTTCTGATGATACCATTAAAACTCAGAAAAGTTTAAAATGTTCACATCGTAACCACAACAGCAGCTAGGTTTCCATTGAAAAAATATAAATAAATTATAAATAATATAAAGATATACTGACATTTATTTTAGCAAAAATGCTAAATGTGCTGGTTCTAGCTTCTTAATTGTGAAGATTTTTGCTTTTCTTAGTCATACATAATAGTAAACTAAAAATCTTGTGTGTGGGCATGGAAATTACATGATCTTCTTAATAATCATTGCCAGGAATTTTATTGGTCTAAAACAAATACACTTAATTTATATATAACCTTGTATATGTGAAATACAGCATTCATAGAGCAGAAAATGGTCTTGAATGAAATGGTTTGTCACTGTAAAGTTTCTGTTTCTGATACTTCTAATCAGCTGTCCTAGTCTGGGCAGGAGTAAACAATAATCAACAAGTGCTTGACCACCATCTGCTCTGATCAGTGGCCAGTAGTATGGTTTGGTCATACTGAGCATCTCCAAAGTGGGAATACGTACAATGTGTGTGTCCTTTCTGCCTGTGTCTGCTTGTTTTGATAACGACATATTTCCACAGTCCACATCCTACTCTCCTAAAACTTCTCCTTTTTTCTGGTAAACTGAGTGTGATTCCTCACTGAGTCTGTGAGCTGGGTGTGACTCTAACTCACTGTTGGCTGTGTGACTCCCAGCCATGGCACTGTGACACTCTCCAGCCTGATAATTCAGCCTTGTAAGACCTATCAGCACGCACACACACACACACGCACGCACGCACACACGCGCGCACACACACACACACACACACACCCTGCAGGTCTGCATCCATCACATTCTAGCACTTCTCTGTTGAATGTAGGAATATTGTGGGTAAATATTTGTCACATTTATTGCCTGACCACAATAGCTCTTACCCTATCCATCCTCAGACGCTGTGCACATTTACACAGTTTTAATAACTGCTCTTGTAACATATTTAATTTGCTGTATTGCACTGCAATGATCCAGTTTCCACATACACACATTTATTTAATGCAACTGTAATGTTACTGCACTGGAGTCTGTTCCAGCTGGTCCGCTACATACATACCATGGCAGCTGCATGTCCGATTGTCCCTGCGGGCAGTGCACTGGCACCCGCAGTGGTGCTGACGCTGTTAGGGTGGCGTATGTGGACAGCTGGCCCAGCTACGATGGCAGGGGGGTTGCCGCCGGGTGCAGGTTTGACTCCCTGCTGCGGGGGCTGGGTCAGGGACTGCTGACTATTCAGCAAAGACAGCCTCAGGGCCGGGAGGCTCTTCTGTTGACGGGCAAAGAGAGGCCAGAGATTGCAGTCAAAGAGCAAAACAGACATGCATGAGACAATACCATACAAAGCTGCAAAGACAAATACTGCTGTGGTCACTGGCTGATTTAGCATAATGTTATCTCAAAAACATGGTTACAGGCAATACTTTTTTACACAATGACTCATGTGGTTTGATACTGATTTGATTTCAGGATGAACCTACAGGTTGTTTAAAATTGTATACACCATTCATGAAATATGGCTATTAGCCATTTCTCATAACCCACCGACCTGAGGAGCTAATGTTGCTCCATACAGACTATTTCAAGCAGATTTTTGACGTAAGCAACCTAACATTGCATGACAATATGTGTCTGTGGCTGGGTTGGGCGCCTTGATGTGACGCTCATCATGGTTGGCTGAAGAAACCTGCTGGCTACTGGCATGGACGACTGCGGGGGCCACTGTCACACACAGTCAGAAGTCAGGCCAGAGGGGTGTGTATATGTTGTGTGTGTGTGTGTGTGTGTGTGTGTATGATTCTACTTTCAGGCCTAGCCATCACTGGCCCTGGCGCCAGAACTACTTTAGGGGGGTCAGATTAGGAAAATACACAAGAGGGACAGCTTAAGGAGCCAGGTTAGGGGATGATTTAAGGGGCAGGTTAAGGAGCAGTTCAGGAAACAATTTTATGTTAGGGGTCAGTTTAGAAAAGACGCTAAGGGGCCCAGTCAACTCTCAATGTAGGGCCCCAGTAAAGGGGAATACTTGGGTTAATTGTTAGGTAGCCAGTTTAAAGACCAGCTAGAAATCAGGTTTAAGGAAGTGTATGGGAAGACAATTTAAAGAACCTTCAGAAGCAGTTAAGGGGTCAGAGTAAGGGATCAGTTCAGGGAACAATTGCCTCAGTAAGTATAGGAAAAGTTTTAAAGTTAATGAGCTGAGACAGAAGGTTAAAAAAAAAAAAAAAAAAAAGGAGGGAGAACCCCACCTTGAGAAAGGGCACCAGGTAAGGCTGCGGAGACGACTTAAGCTCAGTCTGCAGCCGGCTGGTGAACTCCTCCGGTTCAATCTTGGCATCCTGTTAGATGAAGGGTAAAGAATAAACACAATTTTACAAGAGAAGCCAGACAGTCAGTACACCGTGGTGACTTGAACACAACAAGATGAAATCCCATAACCGGAGCTGATGATCAACTGCTCAACTCCCATCCTGGCACCTCAGGGTGCAGCTCATTAATGTGTAACAGGGTATAAGATGAAACTCTATGATAGTGCAAGGAGGGTTTTGGAAAGAGTTTTATGCTGCCATCTACAGGTTTAAAATATTCAATACAACAACACATTAGGGTGTCATCTCTGAATTTTAAACTGCAAAACAAGTTAAGTCACACTTAAAAACTAAACTAAATGAAACTAAAAATAAGGACTGAAGAAGCAGTGTCCCTCCAGTTAGTTGGATGTATAAGAAATCTGGTCTGCTGATAGAACAGAGGAAGGAACTGGCAGTTTTTGTATATATCAAATTAAACAGCAAAAAAGATAGTCGAGACTTTCAAAAAGGTTGATTCCTAAAATACTCTTTATGTTTGTAGAAAAATGTGAGTGAACATGAGCAGGACTGGAGTACTTGACAGTGTACAAAATCTTTGTTAACTCCACAGGCATAATACTTCCATGATGTCCATAAGAAGTGTTTGTTTGTTGGTTTTTGGAGCTCACCAGCAGGTCCTGAACCAGAGCCTTGACGTTCTTGGAAGTCTCGGGGGACGGAGAATTGTGAGACGCCAGCTTGATAAGTGTGGCCAGGAAATTCTTACATTTCTTGACATTCTCTTGCATTTCCTGTTGGAGATAAGAAAACAATTATTTACCTTCTGTGCAACATTAAAAATAAATAAATAAATGGTATCCTGAACTATAAATTACTTCAGCATCAAACATCTTGTTTCTGAGGTGCTACTCAACATTTAAACAAATTTTCTTTGTAATATTGCTACTACTCTTGTAGAATCAGAATTGAGTGTAAAAGAAAGGTGTTGGGTCAAATCATAAGCTGAGAAGAAGAGGCCTTGTATTTGCGCTGAATTTTATTCATACTTAACAAAGACACAAAAGAATTAAATTACTTGGACTGATAAAGAAGCTGACACACATCAGTCACAAATCAGAGCACAGTGCACACTTAGCATGCTGCCCAGTCAACTTTGTAGCCAAATGAGACATGGCACCTGTCCACTCAAACTGCCAGTGGCAACAAACTGAGGACTCCCTGGCCTGAATACATGGAGATGTGAGAGTCTCTGTGTGTGATTCTATATCTCTGTGTGAATTATGTGTATGTGAACCTGCATATACGTCTGTATCTGTGAGTCCATGTGGCCATGAATTCATGGTGGGCTTGTGCCTTTATGTTTGCGTCTGCATGTCCTTGCACTTGTGTGAATGTATGAGTGTGAACGTGTGTGGGCATGTGTGAGACTCTCTGTGCATGGCCAGCTGTGTGTGAGGCGGTGAGGCTGTGGGTCCGGGGCTGAGCTTGTGACACAGCCAGCCTGCTGGCAGCTGTGACAGTGCCTGTGCCCTTGAGGATGGAGTGTGGGCGGTGAAGGGGAGGCGGGGGGTGGAGGGACGGACCTGGGACACGACAGGACCTCCGGGGGCCGTGGCGATGCCCGTCTGTGGAGGCTGCACTGGCTGGGAGGCAGCCTGGACCGGGGCCTGGGGGGGCATAACCACAGGGGTCTGCTGCGGAGCCGTCACAGCCACGGCCGGTGCCACGGGGCCCTTCTGGAAGAGCAAGGAAGAGACAGAGAGATAAACAGGACGTGACGCCTCGCTCGCAGCAAGGCCACAGAGAACAGGAGGCAGGCGCCACAGCGCTCCTGTCACATCTGGTGTCCTGACTTCGGTGGACATCGCTTAACAGACAAGGAGCACGAAGGGGAGGTGGTGACAAGCTAGAGGATGGGATGGACGGCAGGCCATTACAGCTTTTCTTAATAGTCACCTACCTGACAAGGGAATCCACCGACGCCAAAGATTAGCCACTTATTGTGTACTTTCTCATAATGTTATGCGAGGGGATGAATGACCAGAAAATATCTCACATCCACAAAAACTGATTTTGCTCAACAGATGAGGTGCTGTCAGCAGTCTTTCACTCTAAAGCCCTCATCACCTCTTTGAAATCTCTCAGGGCCTGTTCACACTTGGCAATAAAATACATCACATGCGATGCAATCATAAGTGGACAGTTCTAAATACAGGTGTGAATGCACCCAAAATGCATAGCGGACACATTAGGGTCTGATCCCAAAAGCCACATATGGATGGTGGCGAGGCAGCATGTACACGCACATACGGTATTTGATGTAGTCGTGCAGTGTTTAGTGTAAGCCAAAATATGTTTCTATCTGCACCAAAGGGCTGCCTAGTTAGTGTGCATATAACGAGAAACCTCCTGAATACAGAGGAAAGGTCAAGTCTGAAGCACAGATCCTCTACTCTGAGCACAAGTGTACAGTATACTGTACGATTTCTGTTTAGCAAAAATCTGTTCTGCAAATAAATTCGATAATGAGCAGGAAAATAAACCCTGCAATCTCAACTGGATCGAGATACAAGCAGTCTTTGGACAGAAAACACTCAACCTCAGTTCTGTAGAAATAGGAGAGGTTAACTTAAAACATTATCTCCACCAGTGCCAGCATACAGTACAGGATGGTATGATGAGTAGCCAGGGCAGCAATACCCGGCAGCCATGTTTGCTTTTAGTTGGTGGAAATCAATTATTATTCCTATTCTTCTCTGCAAAAACAACTTGCTTGCAAGATTATGTTTGTTATTATTTGTTATTACTGATCCTCTAGATACATTCTGCAAGAAAAGTTTCTTGATGTTTATTGTATCTTTAACAATCAAATGATTACATCCCATAGCAACTTAGTAAATGCTCAGGATAATTTAAAACCTCAACAATAATTAATAATGATTGCACTTTCATGAGCTTTATGAGTGACGTTTACGGGTTCCGAGTTGGCACACAACAGCTTCGCATTCACATGCAGTTTTAAAATCTAATTCAAGACAAACCCAAAAAAATGAACCAGCAAAAACGGAGGGTGTGGAAAACAGGTCTCATTCAATCTATCCCTGCACAGATTGTCCAACCTGGTTGGCAACCCACTGTGTGACCTCTAGACTACCACTGACACACACCATTTCTTGGCATCACTCATCAGGGACGCTAAAAGGATGAAAATGTGAGGCAGAGGACTGAAAAACAGGCGAGTAAGGAGGGTTATCTCACTGGGCGGAGTGCAGGACAGGAAGAGGAGGAGGAGGAAGAGGAAGAGGAGGAAGTCTGCAGGGCAGGACTGGAAGGAGTGGGAGAGGCAGACGGTACCATCTTGGCTGGGGTCAGAGGACACTGCCTGGTGGTCTGAGAGGTCACAGGAGACTGCAGGAAAGAAATAGAGAACACACAAAGGCAAAGAGGAGAAAGAGACAAACAGGGAAACAAGAGAGCATAAAGATATCAGAGAAAGTGGATGAATTAATAAGAACACCTCGTAAGAAAAACAAAGCAAGAAAAATGCGAAGGTGAGTCTGTGTCAGTTTCAGAGGTAAAAGAAGGTGTGAAGAGGAAGTGAATGGAGGGCAGTAAAAAGACTGGGACAGCACGAGCGAGACAGAGCAACAGAGGAAGAAAAGAGCAGTAGCGTGCCTTGCAGACAGATGGGGAAAGGTCATGACAGCAGGAAAGAAGAAAGAAGGTGGCAGCATGTTGGTGGTGCTGAAGACTGAAGAGCCTGTTTGGTCAGGTAGCAGTGGGTCCTGGTGTCATACTGCTAGGGCCTCGTGACAGGCAAATATACCATGATGATATTTACTTATAGAAAGCTAGTGTAAGGCGGATTGTACTAACATCTTGCTTTCCCGTGAAAGAGTAAATAGCAAGCAACTGGAGAACAAAGGGAAAAATCCTCGTCTATAAGAAACTTTGTGGTTTGGGCAGAGGAAGCAGGTGTCTGATTGGCTATGTACACAGAATATCAAAACTGGCCAACTTTGAAATGGGCTTAAATATGGATTCACTGACTCCTGAGGTCCTTGGCAACACATTTGTGATAACTGCAGGTGACAAAGTCTTATGTTGTCTTTCATTGCATTATTTGAGGCCTCAGCATTTACAAGCTTTTACTATGAAATACAGACATCAGACAATTAGCTTGTAGAGGCTGAGGAAAGCTGCTGTTTCTTGGAACATTTCAAGTGAGAAACTAGCTCATCTTACTGGAATTTGTTTGAATGAAACCTGCAGACGCCATAACAATTGGTATGACTAATGCAAATAATAAAGAAATAAGCAGAAGAAACCATTTACAAAAACCCAATTCCACCTCACAATATGTCTATGTATCCATTCCTGATGCCGTCTCATAATGAGAGACGGATGTCACAGCAAAGGGAAGTAATAAGATTCATAGTATCAACTCTGTACATTGTAGTTATACTAGTACATTATAAATCCATAGTAATGTATGTAGTTATGAACTGCTGAATGAGTAAATAAATAAATACATACACAATAAATAAGAGATTCAACCACATGAGAGTCATATTGCTACAGTACAGGGAAGAAAGTGAATCAACCATTTGATGACACAACAGTTGCACACAGATAACAACATACTGATGCATACATTCAGTACAAACAGATCATGTAGGACATATACAAGAGAGATCAGGTGGGTTATATTCCTCTAACAGTTATGTGTTGTTTGTAATTGGAATTTCCGCATTGTGGGACATAAATAAAGGAATATCTATCTATCTATCTATCTATCTATCTATCTATCTAATTACTTGAACAGACTCATTTTAGTGTTGTATTGCTGGTATAGTGGTGTGGGAGGTTTGAGGATCCACATTGAACTGTACTGGCAGTGACTTTTACACACATTCCTTCAGAGAGGACCTAGGTAATCAGACATTAGGTTGCTCAAATATTTCTTGGGTTGGTGTGTTTCATTTCATTGTTAATTCATGCACATAGTAATGAACAAAATGTCTAGTGTTAGTTCTAGGTGCGACATTAAAATTTAGAGTTGCCTCAATCTGAGTACCAAGATGTGCATTATTAGGTTGATAAATCCTAATACATCAGACACATAGAGCACATATACAAAGTATAGTATTTTCCAGTAGTGCACTGGAACAAAATACTCCAGCATGAGATGAGTATTCAAAGTAGGTTACAAATGTGTGGAATAAGGTCAGAGCATACTGTGGGTTTTCTGTATGAATAAAGACTGCACACACTAATAATTACAAGTTAATAATAACAGTAATTTTATTAATCTATGGATGGATGCTGGAATTTGTCACAACTCAGGTTTGTTTATTAGCATATTAAAGGCACAAGAGCAAATGGGATGCCTTGGCAGTGAGTGCCAACTGTCACAAAACCACTGTGATGCCCAGTGGCTCATCACACACACACACACACACACACACACACACACACACACACACACACACACACACACACACACACACACACACACACACATAAAGACTAACACATACACACAGACACATACACTCACACTTCCTGGCTGCTATCCTGTCTAGTGGCCAAGACAACCCAAGAGGGCCTCTGCCCCGACCTCTGGCAAACAGCCTTCCATTCACAGACAGGCCAAAGCATTCATTCACACACACAAACACACACACACACACACACACACACTTGACAAGCACCACCACACAGACAGCAGAGAGAACACCCAGACACACACACATTTAAGCACATGATAAACTGCACTTGTCTTGCACACAAATGAAAACACACAAACAGACACACAACCGTGCCATGGAGGAAAGAGGTAAAGAGTAGAGCGTGGAGGAGAGAAGTAGGATAAGAGAGAGGAGGAGGGATTTTCCCCTTCACTAAAAGTTTTGTAGGATGCAAAAGAATGTTGTACTGCGGAGTTGGGGGAAGTGGGTGTATCAGGGATGAGGGGAGAGGGGATGGGGGTAAAGGGGGGTTGGTAAGAGCCACGGGGTGCATCCAACCGCTAGCTATGCCTCTTTCTTGCTCACTCTCTCCCCCTCTCTCACACACACACACACACACACACACACACACACACACACACAGACAGACACACTCCAGAACCAAAGCCTTGTTAGCTTTTTAAAATAATCAGGCAGTTGGATGATGAATGATTTAACAGGTATGGAAGGAAGGAAGCTCAGGATGCCTTCCGTTTCTCCCCTCAGGGTCATGGGAAGAGTGACAGGCCGACAGAGGGGTTGAGCTCTGGGAATAAACACCATTCCCTTTCATTTCCCTGCTTCTCTTTTCCTGTCGAGATGGCAACGCCGCGGCCCGCTAATTTGTCATCAGTGTGACTGCGAGAGGCGATGACAATCTGCGTCTCTCTTTTGAGAGGGGTTCATATCAGGATGGATACAGGTTGGCTGGCGACGAGTACAGAATTGGGGGGGCTGTTGTTGTGTAACTGATGCGGACTTTTGCCTTGGCTAATATTTACACCTGCCATAAGATGTAGAGGCATGAAGTTTCTTACACTCCCTAAGTATCAGAGTAACTGAGGGTGGAGTTGTCCTTTAATAAGGAAAAGCACTTGCTGTGTGATCGCTATATCAAACACTAGTATGGGATATCCACACGAATCCAGTACACACTGCTATACATTATGTATCTGTTTGGTACTGTAAACTGTTTAATCTCCTTTTTGCATTCATGGCTACTGTTTATTAGACTCATAAACAGTAGCATAAAATAGGATGAACACACCTACTGAGTACAAAATGTTAGAGGATCAGGAAACGGTTTAATTCATGAGTGAAAGCAGAAGTAGAACCACAGAGGAAAGTCTAGGCGTACTGAAAAAGACAATGAACTGCTGCCCTCTAGTGTCTGTCTTTTGTCCTTGCAGTTAGTGATCCGATGAGCAGGCACCAAAGTTGTTTAGAGGGCCTCTTTACTCTAGCCTTGAGAGGCCAGAACAAAGAGTGTGTTGGAAGAACCTAGTTCTTAACCTGTCAGGTACTGAGCTCTAAGCCTTGAATGAAAAACAGCGTTCTGTCTCAAGCATTTTGTAAAATCTGAGAAAACGACTATAGCCGAGAGTTGTTTAAAAGCCACTTGTATTGCATTACTTATTATTGGAAAGCTTGGAGAAACGTTGTCTGCTAACAAGATTTAACCACTCAAAGTACAAGATGGATGGTGTTTTCAACAGTGTGCTGTGTGTCAGACAATTTAGACGATCACAGGACAGCATTTGAAAGTCTATAGAAGATTTTATTATAGTGGCAAATAGCCCCAACAAATGCCAACGTTTTACTTCCAGCTCAGTGTTGACACTCTAAAACTTAACCAAAGTCAAAGCTTTTTCTGTGACTGACAACTTAACATTAGAGCTGAAACGTTTATTCAATCAATATATTTGTCAACTGACAGAAATTTAATCAGCAGCAATTTTTACATTCGATAAACCAATTTGAATATTTTCTGTTTTTCTTCATTAGTAAACTAAATATCTGCTGAAATAATGACTCAATACTTGGGTTTTGGACTGTTGGTCAGACAAAACAAGCAGTTTAAAAAAGTGAATTAGGGCTTTGGGAAATGGCAATGGGCACTATTTTATAATTCTATACCAATCAATTATTTGTTTTTTAAGTGATAGATTAATTGGTAATGAGTGATTAGTTGCAGCCTTACCTGACATTATCTCAACAGTCCTATTGCAGTGAAAAACACTGAAAAACAATCCTGAATTCCAATTTGAAATATAGCATATAGAGGATTAAATGCAACACAATGCAATGTATTTAAATCAAAGGCATCACAACAAATCAGTTTTAAATGCCTCGCAGACAAATTTATTTTTAAGTCAGTTGTATTCTACAAAGGTATTCCTACTGTAAGCATGCCAATTTGAACAGACTATGTTCTGAGGTCAGTAAGAAAGACACTAGTCAAGAGATGTTAACGTGAGTTAATAAGAAGAAATATTGATCCGTGCCATTTCAGCTGTGCTACTTGATATACAGAGAAACTGGGAGAGACAAACTATCTAGTAATCTCATTATTAAAAGCAATTAGGTTCCAAAGGTGTGAACCCAGCAGCAGGTTCTTACATGAATGATGTATCCACAGGTGATAATAAGCAAATTCCAATTAATGATTCAGTGGCTCGTTAAATTTTGATGAGAGGACCCCACGGAGTCATTAAGAAGCCTTGAGACATTCATTCACCTATTAACTATCTCAGTTTAATCTATACGTAAAATAATCAAGAATCCTCATTCATTATAATTACACAGTTTTACATATTAATCACATCCCAATTAGAGTCTAAAGCGGAGCTGTTCACTTAATGAAGTGGTGCCCACCCAACATCAACTGTGTATACCCACACATAATTAGATCAAAGTTTCTCCAATTCACAGACCAATCCAATCAGTGGGATTAGAGTTGACAAAGGTCCCCAGTTGTGCCCTTAACATTGACAGACATTCTGCAGAGCTCAAAGGACTGAAGCATACAGGAAATGTGCCTGTACAATGTCACACTTCCAGTCATGCTTGCTCTCATGAGAACAGGACTGAGGTTGATGCCCTCTGCATTGCATACAATAATCATAAAATGAACCTGGAAATGGTGTTTCCCATTCTATAACCGAAAGTTATAGTCCAAAAGTGCAATGTGAAATGAAGTCGTTTCATATGATTGTTCTACTTCACTAATTGCAGTTTAGAAAGCCATCTTCTCCACTGAACTCATACTAACAGTTTGAAGTAAAGGGCAGCCGTTCTGCAGCAACAACTTCAGTTCTGAGGTCAGTGCCAGGAGTATTGCTAATAGCTTATATGCATTTCATTGGTGTAGGACAGGGGTTGGCACTTACTGTATGTTGGGCAGAGTCGATTAGGGGTTGGTTGTTGAAGCAGAGTAGGGATTTCTGGCACAACTTCACCTACTTCCAAGGTGCATGGAGAAGGGAAAAAGTCTGAAGAGGTCAAAACTCCAGAAACACTACACTAGTATATAGAACAACTTGATTGTCAGACCAACATGTGTCCCTTGTTGATCAGGATCATCTCAAAGCATACCACAAACAATATGGGTATAAGTCAAAAAGAAGTTATAAAAAGGTTAAAAAATATAATAAAGACCAGCCAATTGTATACAGTGCATACACATACAGCCAATGGAGCACCAACACACAGATGGGCTGGGCACATGGCAATGAAGCTTCAAGCCAATTACATTCCCAAACTGGAACAGAGGCAACAGGAGAACCCAACAATGAACATGGGTGACACCGACCTGGTCTACAAACAGTGGCTCTGTTCATACTGAAAGCCTTAGAGCTCAATTCTGATTTATGGCTGTTCACATTACTTTTTAAATGTGGCCCATATCAGGTTCCAGTGTGAAGAGGTCACGGCCCTGAAGTGACCTACATGACGAATGTCACATGAATTCTGATATCACTGTTCACACTGAGGTCCCACTGCAAAAAATCAGACCTGTATCTGATTTGGGCAACTTTCAGAATTGAAAAGATCAGATTCCATGTGGTTTGTTCTGTTCACACTGTCAAAAATCTGAAATCTGAGTAACATTTGAGCAAAAAAACCTGATTTGGGTCATTGTGCCTTCAGTGTGAATGTAGCCTGAGGGCACTCAAGCTTGTAAAGAGGAGGTCCTAAGCCAAAATGTACCTATTCAATGTGGCACACTCCAAACCCCATTTAAAAAGACACAACACAATGTCTCCAAACTGTAAAAGCTAGAATAAAATACAGCAAAAATATAAACTAAAAATTCAATAAAAAAGAAGGAGAGCAATAAGATACTAACAGAAGCTACAAAAATAAGAGATTCAGAAAATCTCATAAAACACACCTATAAAAACTCATTAATTGAGAAGTCCTCATTCATGCCCCCCAGAAATGCTTCTCTCTTTTTTTCTCAGAAAAAACCCTTTGGCTGGACTGAACTTAACTAGGGCTGCAGGATATGGTAAAAATAATCATATTGCGATTATTTTGACAGATATTGCGATTGTGGTTCTCAATTATGTGGGAATGATGATTTTTACATCACAAATGTAATTTTCATTAAAAAAAATATTAGAATCACGATGATGTGAAATTTATGGGGGTCTGTACCAAACAAATATGTTTTCTTAAATCTGTAGAACAAGATTTGTAGACCAGGTCACCTCTGCAGCACTACAGCACTTCATTATGATGTTGTTGTGTCACACATTTTACCTTTATCAAAACATTACAGCTCTTGCTATTTGCATATTGCACTTGGCCATATTGCAACTGCGATAATAGTTTGATTAACTGTGCAGCCCTAGACTTAATCAATTCTAAAAAAAAATAAATAAAAGAAGAAATGATATTGTGATAAATGTGATATTGTGCCCATCCCACCAGTGTGTGGGTGCACAATTGGCCCATATGTATCTGCATGTATATAATTGGTTGACATTTACATATTTTTAACCTTTTTAAAATATTTTTTGCCTCATACCCAGATACTGCACAAGTGTTCTTTGTTGTGTATCGCGTTGGTCTGACAATAAAGTTGCTCTGTACCAGCAAAGGTTTACAGGTGGAGTGGATAAAAACGTCTATATGGTTTGAATTCTTTTCTTTTTTTTAACAGGTTTAAAATAAAATAGCTACCTTTATAAAACTGGTTTGTAAACTTAAAATATATATGCCCATATTTGCCAATCCCCTGCCAGTTGCTGCTAGACAATAAAATAATCTCACCATCATTTGTGTGTCTGAGACACAAATCTTTTTATTAAAAAAAACAGATTAATTTAATATGTTCAAATTAAACTATAACTTTGCTTTATTCCAATAAAAAGGTTTTCTTTTTCATCTGTTATTCATCTGTTCGTTGAGTTGAAGTTATTTCAGCACCAGGAGCTGTCCATAGTCCTACAGTATCTGTGTAATCATTTTTGTGTTGTCCTGAATGAGAACTCATGTTCAAACCTTAAGTACGGTGTACAGTTTCTGGGTCCATTCCATATAACATGCCTGTCCAGGGAAATCCACGTATCTCCAAAATGCCAGCTTTTCCTGAGTTTCAGTTTCAGCTTACTGACACTAGTTTTTAAATAAGCTATGTAATATATAGGGATGTCTGGATAAAGTTTTTGGCCCCAATCCCAATAAGAGTCCTTTAAAGGTCCAGTGTGTAACATTGATGAGGATCTACTAGCAGAAATGGAATATAATATTCAGTTCATAGGTGTGTTTTCATTAGTGTATAATGGCCTGAAAATAAAAACTGTTGTGTTTTTGTTACCTTAGAATGAGCTGTTTTTATCTACAGAGGGAGCGGGTCCTCTTCTATGGAGTTCGCCATGTTGAACTGCCATGTTTCTACAGTAGCCCAGAATGGACAACCCACACTGGCTGTTTTTTGCAAGTTTTGCAGCCAACGTAGTTTCTCCTTCACACTTGGAAGGCTGAGCTGTTTTCAAATGGTAGCAATCTGCAACTTCACCGTTAGTGCCATTGAATCCTACACACTGGTCCTTTAATATGGAGTATAATTTTTCACATTCACACATTCATTTTTACTCCAAGAGTGTAGAGACCAGCTGGCTGCCGTGCTGCAACACTAGCAAGCTGAGGTGGACAAAATACAGTAAAGAAAGTATCTGTATAACAACGATAAATGCCCATCCTTCCTAATATGCCCGGATCTGCCCTGCTACCAGTCCTTAGTGGAATTTGTCTCCAAATTTGGGGACACGTTGTTTTCACACACAAGGACAATATAATAATTATTTAGCAGCTTAAAGTCACTTTTAACTGCTATGCCGATGATACACAGATCTACGTCCACTGAAAACCCCTGATCTGAAATGACAATGATCAATCCCTGCAGCTAAATCAGATGGAGATTTATGTGTCTGGACCCAACATAAACTCTTGACTGTTTCTAATAGCTAACACATTTTCAGCAAAACTAAAGTGCAAATATACATTTTGACTATTATCAGTGGGGTTGTACAATACATGTTATTAACACATACAGAAATTAATTTACCTTTTTTACAATTGATCCATCCTGACTATTTAGGAGCTGAGGGCAGTAATAGCACAGCTCTCAGCAACCAGTATGTATATATATATATTGGGCTTTTTGACTTTTATTGGAATGGTGGGAAGAGAGGGGGTGACAATGCAGGTCAGATTCGAACCCATGGCTGCTGCAGCAAGGACTCTACAAGGATAGCTATAGGGCGACCCGCTTTTTAAGGGATATATTTCTGATATCTAACACTTTTGGTGTGGGAGCAAATCCACTCAAATATGGGGCATTCAAACACATACAAACACAGAACAGACCAAAGACCATATCATTACGAGATAGTGCTAACAACTGTGCTGCCTAAATAGATAATAAATGCAAATGTATTTGACTCCATATAGGGACAGAATGTCATAACTGTCAAGTCTACTAGTCTGTTATTTTTTTTTTTTTTTTTTTTTAAATGGGTTGGAGATAAATGAGATAACTCTGCATCTAATTCAGAAAACAGGCACACTGATGTGTTCTTACCCAAATGAAAATCACCACCTTAAGATTAAATCTCAGCATAGGAATGTTTCACAAGTAAAGTGTGTGACATACAAATCAGATGATCCATTATCTGTTCTGTGATTGGAAACAAAAATAAAAACAAAACCCATTTTGTTGTGTGCCCTGATAAATGCCAAAACCAGGCATACCATGGTACACAGCCAGATATCTCCCGTGTATTTAACCCGTCTCACCTCTCCTCTTCTTGTACTTGTATAGCTGTGAGGAAACATTACGGTGAAGTAATACTGTGTGCTGTGGTCAAACTGATAAAGGTGTATAGGTGGCAGCTACCATGTAGGCTCTGTAGCTCACCTGTGGAGTTGTTACTCTGAATGATGCTCCTGTTGTCGGGGTGGCAGGTCGTGGAGAGATGTTGTTCTGGGCCTGAGCTTGAGCTTGAGCCTGAGCTTGAGCTAAAGCCTGCTGAGGAACCATCACTAGCTGGCCCAACTCTGTTCGTACCAACACCATCCCTGAAGAATCACAAGAGGAATTCGTTAGAGGAAACACGACAACATCATAGTCACTGAAGGGTTTTTAAGGCAGCTACGAGCCAAATGCAGATATATTTTGAACGTCAATGACAGGTTTGGGAATACTACTGGCTCCTTGCTCAAATAACCAGGTATCATTCTAAGTGAGGATGGCATCCTAAAATTTGGGCAGGTTAAAAGTGATTAGAAACAAATACTCCGAACAAGCAGCCAGTGTTAATGCAATGTCTAACCTGCAAAGCCACTTCAACACAACTTCAAGACTAAACAAAAGAATGGAAAAGGTTGGCAAATGAGATCATTTGAGTCCCACAGTAAATGGCAATAAGCTGAAATTGTAAATTAGGTTGTGTGTCTGTTAAAACCGTATAACAGTTCACCTCAAGTTGTCCTAGTCAAACATTTAACCACTGTTCTGTATCGGTGTATACGGAATATTAATCTGCAGTTAACCATAGCAACAGTGCTTTGCTTTAAGTGAAGCTTACCATGATTAAAACAGACCGAACCATGTGTTAAACTGGCTCCACACAAAATAATGATTTCCTTCTGTTACAAGTGGCCATGATCTAAATGTGTGGCATTCTAATATAGAAAAAAAAACAGACTCCCCCTCCTCTGTTATTTCCATACATCAGGACAACCCATCATGTATTATGGTTTATTTCATTGCATGACAACACTGCTTGAAATGCTACTTCCCTAAATTAACAATCCAAGAGAAGATCTAGACACCACCCGGATTTTCTAAAAAGTGGGAAATCTAGTTTACGTCTGCTAGTTTATTTGGGCAACCATAAATGTTTACAATGTGAGTTAATTGGATGATTACATAAGTCCTCTGAGACACTTTGAAACACAATCTATCCACTGACAGTGCTCTGCTTGCCCATCTCGGTTGACAAAAAAACATTTCCCTGTATATCAGCAACTTTACAGCAACCGAAGAGCCACACAAATACAAATTCTACGATTCTTCTGTGTGGAGTGCAACAGGTCTGCATTCATTAAGTTGCTTATTTCAGCCAGCAGTAATATTATTTAACACTGAAAAGTGTAAAAAGGGCCACCATATTTTAAACATAATTCAAATAATTCTACCGTACTGTTGAATTATGTAATCCTATGAGGAAGAATACAAATGTTGGAAACTGCGGGGACAGACATGAGAGTAGCTGCCATTCCCCAAACTGCTGCAGATGGAAAAGCTTCATATGCCTGCTTATGGATGTGGCATTTTGTTCACGGTATATAGTGTGTGAATATATTGGTGCTCACTAATCTACATGATTTCATTGGAAAGAGTTCTGTCTTCTCCTGACGGTACACTCACATAAACTTTGACAACTAATAATGAACAAACTAATTAATGTTGTGTGATGGTGCTCTTAAGGATGCTTGGTGTATATTTAATACTTTGCACGGCACCCAGCAGTGTGTTTGATTCCCCAGGTAGCCATGCTAAAAGTCACAGTGCAGCTGCTATGAATGACAGCATGTATCGAAAAGGGATATTGTACCTCAGGAACAGGAACATACAATATACAATATGTACACAGGATAACTCGCAAAGCTTCCCCAACACATTCAGATAAACATGGTAGGAGAACAGGATGTCACACACTCAATCCTCATACTGTAGGCAGTCAAACAAACCCTGTATCCTACTGACAACCAAACCCACGGGCCACAGGTAAGGTCATCTTAACACAGGGTGTAAACGGCACCTTCTGGCCGCTCTCGTCCCCCTCCTGCAAACCTTACCCTGTGGGATGGTAAACCCAGGGGGCAGCTGAATGGTCGTCTGCTGTTGAGGTGGTCTGACAATCAGCTGGGGGGCTACGATCCTTTGAGGTGCTGTAAGTCCAGGACGGGGTTGAGACTGTGCGGAGGTGGCCACAGCCGGTGTTGGAGAAGGGGCTGTGGGCCTGACCATGCTAAGAGTGGTAGTCACTGATGTAGTTTGACCAGTTCCACACGCAGAACTTGTTGCCACCCCTGTAACACAAGCAGCAGCAGTGGCACAGCTCAAAGGCTGGGTGACTGTTGTGGTTGTTGTAGCTGCTGCTGCTGCTGCTGCTGTAGTTGTTGTTGTTGTTGTTGGTGGTGTGACAACAGAAGGCGCAGGGGGAACAGTGTTTATTACAGAGTTCACACTACCAGACTGGCTTGACATTACAATTTTGGACTGACAATCGTCTGTTTTGGACGCTCCAGTGTCTGTGACCGTTTTGCTGTGGTTCCCCTGTGGGGCTGAAGAGGTGATGGGTCCTACACGAGTGCCCTGCTGGACCAAGGCCGACACACTGGTCCCGCTGCCGTTCTGGGCTATGCTCGCGACAATATGACTCGGGAGTCTGTGCAAAGCGATGGTAGGGGTCCCCCGGTCGAGCGCAATAGCCGACTGACCAACCGGGAGGTTAGCGTTAGATAAGGTGAAAGTCGAAGTGTTGATAGAGGATGTCACCGGTCGGGTAGAGTTAGGTGTAGTTGCGGTGGTATCCACCGGGCTAACGTTATCAGCCACCGCTGTGTTGCTGTTCCTCCTCGTCGTTACAGCAGCGCCGTTCAAACTCTTGATCCGAGCCGAAGCGCTCCTCCGCGGTGTGGTTGTGCGTTTTCTCGGCGGGCTAGTTTCCGCCGACGTCTCACCTGTGCCCGGGGTAACCTTAGACTCTCGGCTGGATGTGGTGCTGATGCTGGCTGGCGAAGATGCCAAAGTTGACCCACCAGATGCAGTCAGTGTTGTGATGGATGCTCCATGTGATTGCGAGCCGCTGCTGGTGGCGTTCACACCGGCAGCCGAAGTGGTGGAGGGCTCGCCAAAGGCAGGGGTACAGCCCAGGGAGGGAGATGTGACAGTTTTTTCCGGGCTAACGTCTTTAGAGTTGATCTCCTGGCGCATCTCAGGTTTATTACGCCGTCCTTGTTGTTGTTGTTCTAGTGTTGTGGTGCCCACTGGAGCTGGTAGCGTTTTTCCTAAGTGATGGTTAGCGGGGGCCACTGAGCTAGCGGCTCCGTTTTCGTCTGTTTTCCCTGCTGGGTTGCTTTGGCCAGCAAGCTGTGACTCCAATGAGCCCACTAGGTCGATCACAGCTTTTTCATCCACCTCTGAAAAGAGCATATCTTCCAGGGGGTCGGAGGCGCCCGCCATCTCTGATCACAGATAGCTGTCTTATATTTTTTTCCCCCAGTGCGCCTGCGTGTTACTGGGCATTGTGGGAATGAATCTGACGTCATTAGAGGAGGGGGGGCGGGGGGGTAATAGTTGTATTTTTCATGATTATTCTTCAAGTTCAATTTAACGAATTATAATAAAGAAATAGAGTAAGTACAATGTAGTTACAGTCCGACTATCTATGGCACACTTTTACTACTTCCGGGTTTATAACGGAAAATCGAACCGTTTTATGTGTCAAGATCAAACGATGCGGTAACGTTCTGTGACCTTAGTAACGTTAGTAACGCTCTGTAACCGTAGTAACGCTCTGTAACCTTAGTTTCTGTAACGTTTTGTTTCCTCTATATGAAAACGTCTTCTCTAGTGGAGAGACTCCAACCTGTGTAATATCGCGATATGATAGCATGGCTGAATCTCAAATCTCTGTTAAACATCCTGTTATTGACGGATTTAAATTTTCTTCCTTAAAAAATATTCCTGAAAGCGAAGAAAACGGCAAGTGCAATCTCGAGATTTCACAATTTTACGGTATTTTCGCCAAATCCCCCTTTTTAATTTCTAGTAAAAAGGGGGTGGCAGTGGGAGGAAGAGGAGGCAACTTTAGAAGAATAGGCACAGCCTTTCTCCCAACATCCTTAGCGGCAGGCGAAGGAAAATGAAAACGGCCATGTCGTGGTAGAGATCAGTCCAGAAACGAGCGAGTGACGGTGTAAGTTATTGATTCATGTAATGTAGCTTTAAAACTACAGCTCTGAAAGAAACACATCGGCCCACTCGTTTGACACAGAAAAGAGATTTCGTGGAAGTAAGTGCGTTATTAAAACCAGAGGACGAACATGAGCGGAGGAGGAACGCCGTACATTGGCAGCAAAATTAGCCTAATCTCCAAGGCCGGGATTCGCTATGAAGGAATTTTGTACACCATTGACACTGAAAACTCGACAGTAGCTCTTGCTAAAGGTGAGTTAAGTTACCCAGAGGTGGACTGCGGTACTTAGAAATGGTTATTAACGTGGTCTGGACAGGTGTGCAGCGATTAGAAAACTGAAATGAATGTCAGCGCTGTTAGCTTTGTTAGCTACGTTAGCTCTGTAGCCAACTCTTAGCTAAGTGGCGCTGTAGTTCACACTCTGCGTCCTTTGTTTACCTTGTGTTTTGGCTAACGTGAAATATGTGTCCTTCACTGCTGAGTGCCAAGTGGCTTACTATTTCAAATAAAGTTAATCCACTGTTGCTATCAATCATCTCTTACTAAAGTTTTGGCCCATTACGGGTTATAGTTTATTCTTTTAAGGTCACTCTTAGGGTAGTTTGTCGTGGTTATTACACTGTATTGTTGGACGTCTTTGTAACATCTGACCAGGAGAGAAAGTTAACCACACAGGTCTCCTAACTCTGGCTCATTTAGAGTGCTTTTGTTCTGTTAACTGTGAACATTTCCTTGAAAACATGTTTAAATTCAGATGAAATACAGTAATTTTTTAAAGGTGTATCGCTATTCATAGTATTAAAAAGTACACTGTATCACTGCTATGGTAGACAGTAAGTGTGTATGTGGATGTATTGCCCAATGCAAGCATTTACATGGAAGCACAAATCTGTTCAGCCTCAATAAAAAAGACTAATGGTGTAATTAAAGTCATTTTAAATTGTCCTGTTTTCCAACAGTTCGCTCTTTTGGAACTGAGGACCGGCCCACTGACAGGCCTATCCCACCTCGGGAGGAAGTGTTTGAGTATATCATCTTCCGAGGAAGTGATATAAAAGACCTAACTGTTTGTGAGCCACCCCAAGCCACTAGCAGCCTGCCTCAGGACCCTGCCATTGTCCAGGTAAATTGATTTATATGTGTGTGTGTATATAAAAAGTTATGATAGTTTGTCATATATTCTGTTTTTTTATGTATTTATTTTTTAAATAAAAGTCCAAGCAAAGCTTTGTCAAGCACGTTTTAAGGTCATCTCTGTAGGTTCACTGTCATGGCTAATTGGAACACTTGAGTTGTAGAGAGCAATCATTTAATGTTGTTAGTGACACCTGTGCTTTACCTATGGTAAGTCTAAATGTCTGCTGTGAAAAAAGGCCATGGCCTTTCCCAAATACAGCTCACTGACAGATTTTCACGACATTTTACTTTTGGTGTATTTAGACACAAGAACTCCAAACCACAATATCTCAATTTAAGACTTTTGTCAAGACACTACTACATTGAAACACAATCCAATCATCCCCCGCCCGGCTCTAAAAGACCTCTTTTTTGACTTTTGACTTGTCACAGCAGGGAAAATGGGTTTAATTAAATTTCTTATATTTGCAGCTGATACTTTTGTCAATATAATTTCAATTTTTTTAGTGCATTAGCTTTTTAATGAACATTTGCAAGTGTGACAGTCAGTAATGTTTCAGAACTGCAATTGCACATTCACATCTTGTGTCAGTGGTCTGAAATGACTGGATCAAAAATGTGTTCATTCCATGTGAATTTGTGTGAAAGGGCTGTCTTTGACAGTCAGTGTTGTCATGGTTTTTCAAATGACACTGTATTTGTTTTTCTAGTCATCAATTGGAACCACCAATGCTGCTGCAGCACCATCATTCCAGTCGGCTGGGCCCTATGCTCCATTCAGCAGCAGGGCCCCTGCCCCACCTTACAGTCAGTTTGGTGTTACACCCCATGCAGCTCAACAGTTTGGATCTGCTGGAGCAGGAGGTAAGGATTTGTTCTCTGTCAAAATAAGTGTCCAATGGTTCCTGTTCCTGTTCCCACACGATGATATGATTTATTTTTGTGACAAAAATAAATGCAACACATTTTTATCTTAGAAGATTCACCATTACAAGTGACGAGGCAGGCACAAGCGATTTTTGTGCTTGAATAAATTAAAGCAGTGCTTGTCGGGAATGTGAGAAATCAATTAAAACCAATGTTTTTTTTTGGACAGTTATACATAATGTCATTTCTTTTCTTTTTCCATTTTCCAACAAGCCCTGTAAACAGGGCATCTGTTTCTCAAGGAAATCAGCAACACCTGATTCAAACAGAGCACAGCTGCATGTCGTCTCATGAATTTCCTGCTGTACACCTGAACCCCATTATGTGCTGGACTGGGCTCTGTGGAGACAATCATACAACACATTTTTAATAAACCGTTCAACTGAAGTTTGGACATTTTAAAGTGCTCAAAGGAGGAGGTGTTTATACAGCATATGTCAGGGATTTTCTTGCTAAATATATAGACTGAATTTCTGTCATTGTCAAATTATTACATTGCTTTCCACATCCAATGAGCTGACATTGGCCTTATTAAATGAATAAATATATTGTTTCCAGGTATTTTGCCACATTCTCATCATGTTGTACGTAATGTTGGTATATAACCAAACTCTGTCAGCTGCTGAAAGACAAACTGCGCTGCCTGCTTGGCATTTTAAACAAGAAAAAAGTTTTAATCTCATTCCGCTGTTTATTACAGGGCGCACTAGTCCCCAGCTGGATGTTTTGACAAAAAATCCTGCCCTGGAGCAGGCAGTGCAGGGCCCACCGTCAGCTGCCCCAGCACCACCTGCACCTGTAGGACAGAGGAGTCAGATGGGGGCGGCAGCTCCCAGACCCACTGGCAGCCAGAAGCCCCCAGACCTCCTGGAGCAGAGAAAAGGTAAAGATACCTGTTGGGCTTGTAATGGTTCATTTCAAAAAGAGAAACGTTTTCTGAATCTACAATGTGTCTAAAGTAGTCTTAAAGTTGCATGCTCATGCATTTAGTGTCGTGTTAGAGCCGTACCACTTTGAGTTAAACTGATGATAAATGTTGTCTTTTGCTGTTCAGTTCCTGAGGTTCAGAAGGTGTCGCAGCCAGATAATGAACACGGTGCAGTTGAAAACCGGGATCCTAACAAGCATCAAGCTGCTGGTAGGTAGTTTTACACCGTCACTTAGTAAACCCATTAACACACCTAACTACAGCCACTAAAATGGTGCTAAGTTGTGTCACCAGTAGAAGTAATATTACCTTGTATGGACTTCAGTTTCACTGTTATATAAAACACTATTAAGTTATAATTAGTAATCTATCTTTTTAGTATCATATTTTAATTCCATCACCTCAGGTATATGCAGTGCAATCAAAACATATTTGGACAGTGATGCGTTTTTCACTTTTCTGTTTGTGTGCTCCAACACATTAGATTGAATGTTGTGGAACAATAACGTGAACTTGCTGACAGTCAGCGTTAAAGGTTTTGGAGGTGTAAATGTGCACACCAGGAAAGCCACCGGGTGTCTTCTGATATCTGTGGGTTGTAGACTGGAGCCAGTTACATACTGCACAACCAAATATTACATTTTGAATTATTGTTTTTGAGTTTATGTTAACTTGTTCAATCACTTTGGCACTTATTGGAGAGGATGGGTTGAAAGGGCTGCTGTCCCTACACTGTTAATTTGAGATGGATGTTAACATTAAAGCCGACAGTCAACACTTAAATCTTAAGTTTCATTTTAAATAGAATGTGCTCTGGTACAAAGCTAATGCCACGCTGTGCCAATATTATTGACGGCACAGTAGGCCTAGAGTTACCTGTTGGGACCATGCAGGATTTGACTTTTCCCCTGTTGTTTCTCAGCTGCTGCTCAGTCCAACCGCCGCGGCCGTGGAAGAGGAAACCGCAGCAGAGGCAAAGTGAACGTGCGTAGGGATGGCCCCATGAAGTTCGAAGAAGACTTTGACTTTGAGACTGCCAACGCCCAGTTCCACAAAGATGAGATTGACAAAGAGCTCCAGAACAAGCTCAAGCTGAAAGGTACAGCTTCAACACACTTGAGTCCTAAATAGAAAACAAGCACTGCATTTATTTTTCACCAGTGCAGGACATTTTTCATCAGTTCCATTATGGTCTAAAATGCAGATGCGCTCATTGAGATAGTGTGTATCTTCCAAAATGTGTGAGTGAATCATAATTTCAGAGAAGCTCAGTATGACGGGGGCAATTATTGATATTTGTAAAGAGCAACACTGTTTGAATTCTGTTTATCCTATCACCATTTTACCAGTGAAAACAGGTTTGCACATTATCAACAGTAATGTATACAAATTATTCCTTTTTTATTATTATTTAATTTAGAAAATTTAATTTTTTTATTTTTTTTTAGGTCTAATTTTGTGCATTATTCGTACGTGGCTCTGTCTTAAGGTGTTTCATGTTTTTCAAAATGTCTTTCAACATAACCTCAGATGACAAGACTGAAAAGACGCTGAATGGAGAAGAAGCTGCTGACTCTGAACATCCAGCCACTGAGGGGGCCACTGAGGAGGAGGCTGTGATAAACCCATGTTACTATGACAAGACCAAGTCCTTCTTTGATAACCTGTCCTGTGATGACTTAAGGTACATCAATATGTCCACAGTTCAAACTCTTTTTCAATTGTAGGACTCTGGAGACAAATGAATTGTTTTGTGTTGCAACTGCTAACGTTTAAAGCTGTGTTCACACTTGCTGCTTCAAAAAAAAAAAAATATCCTGACTTCAGTAATTTGCTCTTCTGTCTCAGCGAATGCAAGTTAAACAGTAGATATGACACATTGTTTGCCACTAGGTATTATTCTACTTGGACGTGATTGGCTAACAGTGTTTTACCACATGATGAACGGTCCTCTGTAAAGGCTTTATTGAAACAAATCAAGGGGCTCTGTTTTTTATTATCTGTGTGAAATATTCTCTCCTCAATATATCACTTTATACAATGAACATAAGCCCTAATGCAATTATTTAAACCTGTGAATTGTGTTCTATTAATGCACTGAAAGACTTGTTTTAATCTCTTTCAGTAAATCGGGCGAAAGAGGATTTTCAAGGTAAGTCCCACATTTTCTTGCTATGTTGAGAGAGGCACCTTAGGTGAATGGGACCAAAACTCAGGATGATGGTTATGAAGAATAAGCACACAAATACAAAGACACAGTTTGTGTTATTTGGTTTATAGTTTTTAAATGTACCTCTAACATTCTATGAAGGCTCCACGTGTCGCTGACACTGAGGGGAAGGTTGAACGTATCTGGATTTTTGTTAACTATGAAACTAGACTATGGACTTGTAATGTTGTACACATAAAGACTGAGAGCTTAGCTTTAATCCTGATCTGTGTGTGTGTGTGTGTGTGTGTGTGTGTGTGTGTGTGTGTGTGTGTGTGTGTGTGTGTGTGTGTGTGTGTGTGTGTGTGTGTGTGTGTGTGTGTGTGTGTGTGTGTGTGTGTGTGTGTGTGTGTGTGTGTGTGTGTGTGTGTGTGTGTGTGTGTGTGTGTGTGTGTGTGTGTGTGTGTGTGTGTGTGTGTGTGTGTGTGTGTGTGTGTGTGTCAGGGAGCGAAGGTCAACCTGGGCAGAAGAGAGACGAATGAATTCTGAGACATTCGGGATCCCTCTGAGGCACAATCGAGGAAGAGGGGGTTACCGTGGCCGAGGCTACATGGGGCCCCGTGGAGGCAGAGGGCGACCCCTGAGCAGAGGCTCCTTTGGGCCGCCCCGCGGTGCTCCACCTGGATTCAGAGGCGGATTCAGAGGTGGCAGAGGAGGCCGGGATTTCTCTGATTTTGAATACAGGGTAAATCCATCCGCTTAATGAGCTCTGAAGTACTAGTACAGTATTAGTAGAAGTGCAGTAGGCTCTTTCTTGTAATATGTAGAAAAATATGGATTGTTCTAAACTTATGATGTTGTTTTTTTCAGAAGGATAACAAGGTGGCTGCATAGTACTGCAGCGATGGATCCACAAAGAATTGTAGCCCCTAATCATGAAATGAAAAGAAATTCTTTGTTCTCAACATTTGACAGAAAGAATGAAGACATCCTCTCAGTCACCAGCACCAGGGTCGACTGCTTTACATCAGGGGGTTAGAGTGCAGCTCCCTTTTCTCCACTTTGAGAAACAGGCTTTTTGTTTTTTGCCCCAGTCACCAGATTGACAAGAACATGTGTAAATACATTGCTTTGGAGTAATTCTGTATTTTTGCATCAATCAAGTTCATTTCTTACTGAAGTTGTCTTTGATATTGAAAGCTGTACGCAGAAAGCCCACTGATACTGTGAGTGGATCACAGTTCATGTGATCGATAGCTTTATTTTTTATTTTCTTTCAGTTTTTGATATTATGATGTTTGTTGGCACCAAATTTCACTGCATTGCCTGTTGCATCATATTTTCCTCTGCTCGAACTTACTTAGGTTGGTTGCCATGTGTTCAGTATTTTACCCAGTTTGCAGGAAGTTTTGTTGTTTGTTTTTTTCAGACATCCGTAAATTTCTCAATGAAGTAGTGACATCAAAGCCAGCGGAAAGAAACAAAATCTGAATTGTAACAAACGAATGTATATCCAGCTCATCTTCGGCTTACTGCCCCCCAGCAAATTGTGGCTCTCCAGACAGACTTTTAGTTTAGATTTTTAAGAAATGTGTAGTCAGTATTTAGAAATGCATCAGACCTCCCAGATCAGATGAATTGCTTCTGCTTTCCGTTTGTAGGTGAACTTCTGCAGGCCTGTTAATGACAGCCTAACAAAGGCGATCAGTAGGAACCAGTCATATGATTGATATGTGGCGTTTACAGCATTAGCTTTAGAAGTATTTGTTGACTGTAGATAATTTTTTTTGGACGGGTCTGTTTTATATAGTTGACTAAACAAAGAGCATTCCCATGATTTGTGTGTGTGTGTGTGTGTGTGTGTGTGTGTGTTTGTGTGTGTGAAAGAAGAACATCCATTACTCTCAATGCCTTTAGAAGCTCTTAGGAAAAGAAGTCCTGGAGTTGATTCAGTCAAAACCTGCAGTCAGAATGACTTCGAACAAGTCTGGATTTGGATTTTAAAATGCTCTGCTATTATGCCAAAAAAAGAACGTGAGCATTTGGTTGAGCTAAAATAATTGACCGCCCATAAGTATGTTTTCACATTTTAGCGCCTGTTCAATCTACCTTTGTGTCCAAAAACATACTGAGCCGTTCGTTAGAGCATGTTCTTTTTTTGTTATCATACCTTTTGAATTGTCTTACAGTTGTGTCATCCGTGTTGTTTTTCTCTACAGTCAGCTGTTTCCACTGCAAAACTAAGCACTTGCAGTGTTGTAAGGATTGTTTACTGAAAATAGGAAATGTAAATGGATTGAATGATGTCTCAAAACGTACGTTCAATACAAATGGCTAAATTTCTGATCGATCAGCCCACTGTTTTGCTTGTTTGCAGCTCCTCTTGTTGCATTGTTGTCAATGTGATTGTTCTCTGGAGTGAATATATATTTTTTTTTTTACTGACTTGTGAACAAAGGGACAAGAACTGGATGTAGTGCCAGTGTGTTGGAGGGAGGTGGGATATTTTTTTTCTTATTTACTCTGATTTGTTAGGACTTTAGGGACTTAACAGTACTTTTGCCTTCAGAGTGTTGAATTTTTTACAGCTCTCCCTTTAACTTAAAGGTTACGTTTTGATGGAAGTAATGATAGCACTACAGGGTGAAACTAGATCCTTCTCCGTAGCTGTGGTTGTTCAGAACAAAGCAGCCAGCTTGGAAATGTGCTGTTTAACTGGATATTGCACAGATTTGTGGTCACTGCATGATAGCCGTAGGAACCATCACTTTATATGGGCTTTCGCAATAACCAGCGAGATTTGAATTTAAGGAAAATTTGACCAAACATATTACCGAACTATTACAAACTGACATGTTTTCATATGTTTGTTACTCCTTCCAGTCACTGGAATTGTAAACCAGGAATTGTTTTCTTGAGAATATCAGCAAAATGGAGTTTTTAAGTAAAATAAAGAGTTGTACAATATCCACGTCTCCGTTGTTGTTCTTTAAAGTTTCGCAGAAATGCTTCTGAACGTATGAGTCTCCCCTTCAAATCATCCACTTGTTTTTGTGTGTTAGAAAAGTTACTGAAATAATTAGTTTTAGATTTTGACACAAGTTTAGTGAACATACTACGTCCTTCAGCAGGCGAGAAGACTGCTTTAAATTCTTTAAATGCAACTGAAGGCTACACAACATCCTGCTGGTCCACTTGCTGCATAAGCACTTTGTGTTGCTGTTCTCAGAGTAGAATATGATTGCAATGGTGACGAGTGTGTTTGGGACCATCTCTTTCCAATATGTACAGAATCAAAGCCAGTGAATGGAAACAACCACTGTATCTAATTATTTAAATCAGAAAAATGATTTTTAATTGGGTGGGTGGCACTGTCCCTACACAGTAATATAATACAGAAAGAAGCAGAGCCATAGTTAAATGTAATGTGTATCCAGACAATAAACAAGTGTGGTTGGAAGAGTTGTCATCAACTGCATTACAATAAAATAAGAAAACTCGCCCCAAGTTAGTGAAAAATGATAACTTCACTGTGATGGAGTTTTCAAATTACATTGTCTTTGTTTTCTAACATGTCTGCTAACAAAGGCTATAAAGTGAGAAGAACAAGGCAACACAATGCTTTAATCTGTGGCTACTTATTGTGACTGTCAGCTGTAACTGCTCTTCTGAGAGATATTGGGAATATACTTACCCAGCTCCTACTATATGAGAGGGGTCACACCTGGTCCTGGGTCAGTTTGGGCATTTTGGCCTGTGGGTGGCACAAAAGTTCAGTTCATGACGTGTTAAAATGCAAAAGGTTATCCTCTGGTAACATAACGTGCTGGTTACTGTAAATATTTCTAGACTATATGTACCATGTTGTTCTGAGTGTAGGATTCATCCTCTTGGGCAATGAACAGAGTAAAGATAATAATCCATATTGTGAAAAAAAAACATAAACTAATTCCAATTTTCACCATGTTGATATTCATCATATCTGTCCTTAAATTACAGTCCCCATCTACAATGGAAATATGAGTAGAGAGTTGAGACAGCTTGACAGAATTAATCTTTTAGTCCAGGGTTGCTAGACTACGGCTCTCCAGCAGATGGCGGTACAACAACAAAGATCCCGCCCACCTCCGACCATCAATACAACCACGAAGAAGAAGAAGAAGAAGAAGAAGCGGCGTTGTGTTGAAAACAGACACAAAGTGGTTAAATAACTGTAACTACAGAAACATGTCGATTGTCTTTGTGCCAAAGAAACTACGAGGGAAGGCGAAAATTAACCAAGAAACAATACAGAGGGTAAGACTCCAGTAAATGATACAGTGAACTGTTAGCTCATGTTCCCGCACATTAACATACGGCGTTAGCAGCTAGCAGTTAGCCACTCACGGGTTCATTAATTCACTTTGTTTACAATCAGCGACTTTGACTTTATGCTTGCTGGACAACATCATCCATCCACCCCTCACTTCGTGGAACTGTCTGTTGTTGCACACAGTGGATTCATTGTTTCCAAAGATGGCGAAAGCCCTGTTAAAATCAACATATTAGCTACAGTGTGTTAGTGTCGGTGCTTCATGTGTTTGATTCCTCTGCTCCAGTTACTGGATGAAAACGACCAGTTGGTTAGATGCATCGCTGAATACATGCAGAAAGGACGAGCAGTGGAGTGTGTACAGTAAGTCAGTACAGTCCTCACAGATCTGCTGCCATACACTGTATGTGTAATATAATGTATATATATTATTATATTGTAGCATAATGTCTGCACACTGTTGTGAGTTGTGTTCTTTGTGTGTGTGTCTCTTTCCTACAGATACCAACAGATCCTGCACCGCAACATCGTCTATCTAGCAACCATAGCTGATGCCAACCCAGACAACATGCCCCCCTCTTCAACTGTAAAGACAAACCATACAATGCATGAGTAACTACTGCAGTAATAAAGAACTAGGTCCCGTCGACTGGTTGCTTATACCTAATACTCCATTATTGTTTCTGTTTGCAGGCTACAGCCAATGAAACCCCAGCCTCGACACCAACTGTGAATGGGCATTGAGGGACATGATGATGGCAGCTTGTGTCACCCCTTGGACATTAATGTTTCACTGTAAAATATATTTATAATAACCATTGTTTTGAGCAGTGTTGTCCATTCCAGGATCACTGATGTTTCAATCCAGATATAATGAATATTTGTTGTGTAAAAAGTATTTTGTTAGACTCATCTGAATTGTGCATTAAAAAAAGTTATATTTTTGATTTGAGTTGTTCATGGTGTCAGTTTTTGAAATGGTTCAGTTCAGTGACATTATATCAGTGCACAGGATACCTGATTAAATGTTTGTAGCAGGAGCTGAGGTCAGTTTGAACGTCTTTAGAAGGAAAGTGAGCGACGTTACAGCAGAAGAACTACAAAGACAGCACTTTGAATTGCTAGTCATTTTTATTCATTTTTTGCATTGCTGGTACACTTGGAAAGATTCAGTTGCCAGCTCAAGAGAACAATAAGCAACATAAGCCAAGCAGTCCCCCTTCATATCTTCTACCAGGGCAACATGTTTTTATTATTTTTTTTTTTCTTTTGTAGAAGCCACTAGTAAACCATTTGACACAGCTGAGAAGCTAACAGTTACAGTCCAAGGTCTGTAATGATGTCTTTAAAAAAGGCTGCAACAGTTAGGGAGAGAACACAGACAAAAAGCAACAAACCCTATATCTTGATTGTGCAAAGCACATTAACTATAAAAAGATATATATTTATATGTATATACAGCAAACAATTCTCTGTAAACATGTTAAGTATGTTAGTTTTCTGAAAACATGGTGTCATTTCATAAATACAGGCAACATTGGCATCCGCAAACATCACAAAAAGATAACATTCTGGGCTTTTAAATGCAGCCCATTGCCATAGAAACCGAAGAAACAAGGGCTCGAAAACACCCTCATCACACAATGTTTTAGTGTTTAGCATGGCATATTTGGTAACCTTTATAGATAGATGGTGTAGTTCAACTCTGTAGGAAAAAAATGTGCTTTTTCACATATTGGGAGGTGGAAAATAATGTTTTATGTATATGCCTACAAGAATACTAACATACAGTAATGGTATAACATGTAAGAAAATACAAAAATAAGATTAATACTGTCAATAATTGTACAAGAAAAATATTGTATTAATAAACAAAAGAAAAATTAGGTTTATGAGAGTTAGTGTCAATCTGGAGCAACAACCGCCAATTAGAGAGGAGGAAATGAATGCGCTTCTGGGTGTGAAGATGTTCCCTAAAGCTCTCGTCCAATAGGGTGTATAACTTCACCGTTTCTCAATAATCTCAGACCGCCTCTTATCTCTTCAGCACCATTCATCTTCTGAACAACGCTTTGGTTGGAAATAATATTCTGCAAGTGCTATCAATACCAACATGGCACATTGTTACTGCTATATGTCTTATCTCTGGTCAGTTGTTGAAAAAGTAGTGTATTTCTCTCAAGTTACACCTCTGCAGTGACTTACTATATTTATGCTGAGCCTGCTCAAAGCCTCTTAATAAAAAGAACTAAATATTTATATTTCAACTTCAGTATTTTACAAGCTATGAAACAGTAGATGGTAGCTGTATTCTGAGTCATCTTGCGTGAGATTTGGCAGTTACAGCTATGTAGACACAGTATATTTATTATGGGCAAAATGAGAGCATTTCAAGCCCTTGCCCCCTTGTAATCCCCCTCCTTCTCACACACACACACACACACACACACACACACACACACACACACACACACACACACACACACACACACACACACACACACACACACACACACACACACACACACACACACACACACACACACACACACACACACACACACACACACACACACACACACAGCTGCAGAAGCAAGTGGGTGACGGCCGTGCACGTCTCCAGCTCTTGTCTGAGGAGACGTCAGCTCAACAGACAGAGAAACAACCACTAGACTAACTGCTGTCAGCATGACACATGCGCCTTTCGTAGTTAAAACATGGCAGTTCAAAAAACTTCAAAATACGTCTCTTTTTCAAATGGGGATGTTTGACATGGAAAAATATAGATACAAAAATGTTGAGCCAGTGTGTATACTTAATTTTGCCTCTGATGATTTGAAATCTACTAATTCAGTGAGTGTGGACTGTAATGGCTGCAGCTCGGCCCACACAGTGGCTCATCTAACAGAGCAACAGGCCCTCAGTGGCACTTCACTGTGGACTCGTTCCACATTAGACTGTAATCAGTACTGGTGAAGGTAGGAGGGCCTGTGCTCGTGTTTGAGGGGAAAGGATTTAAAGCCCTTGGTCATGGGTTTGTGTTGCTGCTGCTGTTGTTGTTGTTGTTGCTGCTGTTGTTGTTGTTGTTGCTGTTGTTGCTGCTGCTGCTGCTGTTGTTGCTGCTGGGTGAAGGGAAAACCAGAGGAGATGCCGGTGGAGGGGGAGCAGTCGCTGGCAGTGGACCACACGGGAGACTGCAACATCTGCATGGAGTCGCTCCACTGGGAGGAAGGAGGGATGTTCATCTGGTACAAGGAAGAGCTGGGATTGGGCATGGTGTTGGTGTGGGTGTGGGTGTGGGTGGAGTGCTGCCATGGCGCTTTGGGAGGCCAGGTTTTAGTTTTGCTGTCCTGTGGAACACAGCAAAATGACAATCAGCAACGTTGAAAAGGTCAATAACCAATCAAAGATCGTACCAAACCCTTAAAACTAGGATAAAAATTCCTAATTCCAGAACTGACAGAAACCAGGGATGCACAGATTTATTGTATTAATACATATATACATGTGATACCGATAATCACCTTGTTAACTGACGCTAGCCTATTAGCAATCAGATAGCATCGACCAGTATCAGTGGCCGATGTTTATCTGTTGTGTCGCATCAATTTTGCACCGGCTAAATGTTGTGTTTGTTATTTCCAACTCGGATATTGGAGAAATCACCTCTGTTTCCAAGCACTGGTACAAATTGCACACAAATACTGATGTACTCCAAAACAGTCAGTGAGCGGCAGTTTATTGAAAGAGACAGAGCTGCAATAAGGCAGAGATGCATAGCTTTCTTTGTTTTCCTGGCACAAAAGGGTTAATAAATAACGACAAAAAACCCACTATGGATTATCAGCCAAATTGTTATTTTTAAAACATCTGTACCGGCCCAGAAAGAAGAATCTGTGCATCCCTAAAAATAAGCATATTCTCACAGTTTTAGCACAAGAAGTTTCAGAATTGTCAGCACTACTTAAAAACAGAAGCTCCATGCTCAGCACTCGAAATACTTTACCTGGTTATCATCGCCGATGTGATGGAGTGGTGGTGAGGGCAGAGTGCACACCTCCGGCTCACCACAACTGTGTTTTCTGAGAACAGAGAAATTTACATTGAACCTTACCAGCACTTGCATACTGTACAGAAAGAGTATTCCTCACACAGCCACACTTACACATCCTCCTCTATGCAATAATCATCAACAAGTGTGTAGTAAAAAGGGTGACCAAAAAAAAGAGACAAAAATCACTATTTACTTTTGTTTTTGAGTGCGGAACATGCAATCAATCACATTTTATGATATTATCAGTGCAGTTTGAATGTTGCCTTTCACTCTTAAAGCTGAGAAGGTGAGCGAGTTTGGGACTTACCTTCTTTGTTTAACCGCAGCTACCAGGTCTGGCCCAGAAAACATGGAGAACAGGCTGTCACCATTGGCTGAAGACGTCTCATCGCTAGAGCTGGCCGAGTCCCCCTGATTGGCTGACCAGCTGCTGTTTACGGCCTCCCTGAGGCCACAAACAGGAAGATGGAAGTGTTCGTACCGTTCCCGTTACACTCTCAATAATGTGGTATTCAGGAAATATCACAGGTTCAAATTTATTTCATGATGTCTGAACACCTTGATGACACAAAATGTGAGAAATCGTGTATGAAATTGTAAAAAAATTGATTTCGCCTCTTTGTGTTTCACTGATTTGTAGAACTAAAAGACATCTAGGCATCTATCAAACTAAAAGTGGGATACAAATTATTATTTTTTTTTTTTAGCTCTTTTGTTTACCTATAACTGTTGATTCACTATATATATATGTTCTACAGGATCTCTTGCTCTCTCTTTTCATTATCTACATTATTGCACAGGCTTTACAACTGAGATGCCACTGCAGTATAAAGGCTGCTTGTTTACATCTGCCTACTTTCTCAGATTAGTCACTAAGCAGGATGGTGTTGTCTCACACTTGTGCGCTGACTTAAAATGACAACACTCATGATTAACGTGATAAATGTCTCACATATCGATGATGGCTTCCACATTAATAATTTAATGAAAACATTTCTCAACACTGTTGTGCACAACAATGAGACTGAGCTTTGAATAATCCTCCAACAGTTCAGCACCACGCTGCTACCCAAAACAAAATCCTGAAACATGGCCTCAGGGATTTTATACACGTGCATCTTGTTTTTCATATTTTGAAAATCTGTCTGATTTTTAAAGGCAAGACTGGCACAGACATACTGTACTGCCCACTGCTACATCGCCAGATCTAAGAAATGAAGAGACTGGTAGAAAACTGTCTGCCTTTAAAAAGAGGGATGTGTTACGGAAGTTTGACTAATTAAAGGTTTTAAATGTTTTTCTCTGTAGCAATTGACCAGAGATGTAGGCGATGTCATGTACAGATACATACCCCTCATTGTAGTACTCTGGGTGGGACCAGGTCCTGTGCTGCTCATCAGGCATTGGCCAGTTGCTGCGCGGGTTGCTAGGGCGACGGATGTGCTGCACCTGCCGTTTCTGCTGCATGGCCTGACTGACGCCGGCAACGTAACGCGCAAACTCAGGGTCAGAGCCAACTGCGCATGGAAAGGGAGGATAAACACAACTATGAGTTTCTGACACCCTCAGCTTTTCTCTTTCGCTCCCTGGAGCTCAGTCCGTTTAGCCAGACTGTCTACCATAGCAGAAAAATCACAATGGGCATAAGTCAACCCAGCACAATAGGCCTCGACTGCAATCAAAAGAGTCTGCTGCACTGTAAAAATAGCAACTGACACAGGCTAAATTCAGCATAAATTGTCAACTTACAGTCGCAGCCACATGCAGGGGAAAATAGCTGCTCACACTATCTGACCTACATTGATTATGTTACACAGACCAGGCTGCAAAGTTTGCTTGAATGGTTACAACATAGGATATAAATAGCAATAAATAGTATCAGACTATTTTATTATACACTGCAGCATGACATGAAACCTGCCCAACGACAAGACAATCTGTCATACACAATGCAGTAAATAAAGCCTAATAAACATAGGTTGAATGTAGTCTTGCCTTATTATTGCCCTGGAATTTGCCGTCTTGACACCACTTCGGAGTGCTTTGGCTAAAGACTAAAACCAGCAGGGACACCATTTATCCCCACTGCCATTACACTGCTACGTGAATGATAATAATCTTTGTACAGTAGTCCATTTATGTTATTAACTGATACCTGGAAGCAAACTTTCTTTTATGGGACAATCAAGATTTTAATTTAGATCAGTAACTTTGTATATGTCAGCTGGATACCCACTGCAAGCATCTTAATGGTTTCAACTGGATGATATGGACACTTAGGGGAAGTTAGGACACCCAAACGCTATTGAATATTAGTCTCCTGATATAATGAATAACTAACTAATAACTGCATTGTAGGTCATAAAAACATTGCTAAGCTGCTTCTGAAGGCTTTTTTAATAACGCAACAATGTCAGCAAAGCTCCAAGCTTGGCCCTCCCCCTCACACTGCTGACATAACAGTCTGACTGAGGAGCATGGGAGGTTGAGACCAACACTCCTATTTGGACAGCTCTTCATGATGAAAGAGATGACAGGCCATAACTTTATAAAAATGGTGCTTGGAACAGTAACATCTATCCTGGAAGATGTACAAGGTCCAATACACAGGATGATGATTTGAAGAGAAAATGAATGATATGCAGTTTTGTCTGCTAATATCCAATAACACTACCTAGTGTAACATTATTTGAATCCCAAGCTCAATCTGACTGAAAACAAGAGAAATGATTGAGCCATAATCAACCACAATTCAGCCATTATCCACTAATCTGGAGTCAGCTTTGACTCTTTTAAAGATGCAGGCCTCTCGTCCTCTTGACTTGATAATCTTAAAAGAAGGCTGACACACTGTATCATCCCATACATAAATGGAGTGTGAATGTGCAGATTATGTCTTATTTGTCTGATTGGGGGTGAACTTTTAATGAACCTGCTGAATAACGTCACGACACACCTCATGCATAACAATAAGGTGGATCTCACCTGCTGGGTCGAAGGGCAGCGTGTCTCCCAGGACTCCAAACACTCCTTCACTCTGGTCCCTGTTGGGCCAAGTATTGTTGCGGGGCCCCTGTGGCTTCTGGCCAAGCATCTCTGACATGACACTGTCCATGTAGGTGCTTACCAGGCCCAGACTGTACAGATCTGAGCTCAGATCCGGCAGTCCAGGAGACCCCCACTGCCCGATTGGACCCAGGGGTGACAGCCCAGCTGGCGGGCCTTGCGGCGGAGGCTGTTGCCCAGAGGTGCCGAGCCACTTGCTTGCCACTCTTTGCTGTGGCAGGACCTGGGGTGGGGTCTGCTGAGGAGGAAGCTGGGGAGGAGGTGGCTGCTGCTGACTGATAGGCTGCAGGAGGTGCTGGTAGTACTGCAGGGCCTGTGGGGAGGGCTGTTGTGGTGGAGGAGGGGGCTGTTGTTGTTGGGGCTGTTGTTGTGGAGGAGGTGGCTGTGTTTGTGGCTGAGGCTGCTGCTTCTGCACTGCCTGGGGCTGGGGTTGGGACAGGGTCTGAGCTTGGGGCTGCAGGGCATTGTGAGAGATAGACTGAGAAGTCGGCTGAGGTCCACTTGGGGGCTTCAGCTCAGCAGGGTTTGCAGACGCCACAGAGTTTCTTCTCTTGACCAGGGGCGATGCCTGCTGGGATTTTCCCATGTTGAATCCTGAGAGAAAGTCGATGACATCCTGCATCTCTTGGTCCGTCGGCAGGTTCATCCCCTGGTCGTCAGACACTGAGCCGTTGGCCAGCAGGCTTTGCTGGGTAGAGTCGGGGGTGCAGGACAAGCTGCTCATCTGCAGGATGCTCTGTAGCCTCCCATCACTGTGGCCCAGGCTCTTGGCCTTATCCTCAGAGCTACTGGTTGTTAGCATGCTGCGAGACGGGGTGTTAGGGATGGAGTAACTGCCCCCACTATTAGAGCTGGATGAGACCTTCTTGGTAAACTTTGAAGTCAGCTTGGATATTGTTTTGGGCAATCCACTGGAGGTCTTGGAACTGGTGCCTGGAGGCAGGTCTGCCTGACCGCCATAGTCTGGGCTCTCCCGCTGCAGCTGTATCTGAATGGTGGGCAAGGCTTGCTCTCTTTTGAAGGGAAGAGAATGACAATTATTGAAATATTTTGGATTAAAGTACTTATTACAGTTATCTGAATATACTCAACTAAGGGTGCTTTCACGGTTGTAGTTCAGTGGAATAAAATTGTTAAATAATATTGATCATTTAACATTCACTTACTTTCTCTCCTTCCACCTGTTGATGTCAAACACTGCTGTGTACAGCACGTCTACCAGACCAAGTGTCTTCTCAGGGTCCAAGCTCCGCTGGAGCAAGGACATAGTGGCTGGGTCCTCCTTCAGACACCTGAACATGTACACAAAGACACGCACAACGTGACGGGACAGGACATTAACAACAAATCCAACACGACTAGCACACAAAAGCCCAGGTGCATTTGCTAAAGAGTTGAATACATGACATTTGATATTCAGAAACAAGAAATTGCAAATATGTACTATGTATACACTATTTTACAAAGGTGTTGAGGAGCTTTGTGTACTCATGTCTATAATCCAGTGCAGTAACCAGACTCCCATTCCTCTTCATTGTGTTGTGAAAGCCAGATTCTACGTTTTATATCCCCCTTTGGGGAAGCCCGTTAGTGTACACTGAAAGCAAGAATCAACAAGTCATATTGTTCTCTAATGTCTCTTCTCTCTTATCTGACTGTGTACATATGTACAGGGCTCCAGACTAACTGTTTGCATTGGTTGCACTGGTGCGCCTAACTTTTTTTTTTTTTTTTTTTTTTTTTTAGGTGCACCAGCACAAAATTTAGGTGCACCCAATTTTTTTCATTGTGTCACCTTTAAAACCACAAGGTCACCTTTTTATCGCTCTCCATAACTTTCATATAATGTGAATGATTTTTAAACAAGAATATGGTGTAGAGAAACGCTTGTCTTTATTTGAAGCACAATTATATATAAAAAGAAAAATAAAGTGTTTAAAGTGCTTCACTGAGCTGAAATTGAAACTAAATTTCAAACTAAAACACTAAGCAAAATAAAACATTTCCAAATAAAAGTTCGATACGAAACGTTGTTGACCCGCTCATGAATGCACTATTTCCGGCCATATTCTGACCGCACTCCTGACAGTACACGCAGTGCATTGCGTTACGTCCTTTGTTGTACCTCAGCCAGGGAAATTGTTTCAGCCAGTCCTGTCTGAAGGAATATATTTTGACCTTTTTAATTTGGGTCTCGGAGCCGGGCTCTATCCCAGACTCAGTTGTCTCCTCCTCTGGTTCCGAGTCTGATGCTGTCGCCGAAGGACCGGGGCTCGGCATTTTTTAAAACACACACAATTTAGCGCGGTGAACAGGACCACAGCCAATCAGAGGCCAAGACCCGCCCGAGCTCTGTCTGTCTAATAAATTTATGTTTTCATCCGGGCAGCGTCAGGTGCACCAGTGCGACCTAGAAAAATTATTAGCCGCACTCTTAAAAATCTTGGTCACACTCTGGAGCCCTGATGTAACATTTAAGCTGTTGCACTTTTGTGCATAAAACCACAGAATCAAATATTGGTGCATGTAACTGTAACTGGGTAATAATCCAAGTTACGTTCATATGTTTCATATTTCTCATCAAGACTTAATATTTCTTGAATTGTCTGAGACAAACAATAAAATTGGTGTGTTTATTAGGTTAAACTTGACCTGTGATTATTTCTAACCATATAAAAAAGGTTTCACAGTTGGGCATGCTTACCATGTAGAGGGAACCTGGACCACCACCTTGGAACCCTCAAGAGTGATCTGGGGAGCATAGGCCTCCTTGTTCTCAATCTGAGCTGTATCAACAACCACCTGTTGGGACACAGAAACACACCTGCATAAGCAAGTCCTGAAGAAATCTTGAAAATAAATAGCCATTTATTTCATTATTATGAATTCTGCTTGTGCAAGCAATGCACCAAAGTTTATAGCATACTGTCTGTCTGGTGACTCATTCACACATACAGCAAATATTACAACTGGACAATGCAACAGAAATGACAGTCTTGAAACAAAACAGACTGGTTTTACAGCCTTTTACATAGCCAGAAGTCAAAAGCCTTTCATTGGTGTCTGGCATTAATTTCCCACCAAGCAGAGAGAGGCAGTTCAAGGTGAGGAAGCTGAAAGCATTCAATCAGCCAGTGACAACAAACAGACTAGCCTTCCTGCCTGCTGCTAGTCAAATTTATTTGCCAGTTCTTTGAAAGTGGCCTTGGCTCCTTGAGACCCACGCAGCTGGGTCACAAAGAGGGAGAGAAAGTGGGAGGAGTCCATTTCCTGTATTGCAGGAAGTTACCCTATTGTTATTTTTTTTTTAAAAAACAGGTGTATCCTCGGAAACCTCTGGCTGCCCATGTGAGAAAGACACACACACAGAAAGACACACACACACACACACACACACACACACACACACACACACACACACACACACAGACACACACAGTCAGCCATGTTGAAACACATACAACGAGGTCACTGGGGGCAGGAAGGAGGAGGAACGGCAGCAAACAGACGAGGTCAACGTCTTCGCTGAGCTCCGAAAGCCATGACTAGAAGGCAAAAGGGAGTCGCTGGTGCATAATGTTTCCAAGAACAACAACAGAACAGATGTGGTGATTCTTACTGTAAGTGTAGAAGGAACAAAATGGGGAGGAGAAAGACTGTGGTAGGGGTTACGGTGAGTGTATGATGAGTGTATGTATATGTAAGTGTTTTTAAAAGTGTGGGGAAGATACTATGTGTGAGTGTATTGTGTCCATGCATGCTACTGCGTAATCTTGAGTGGACATAGGCTCAGATAAGGAGTTAATGCAAATCATCCATCAATCATCCAGGGATTGTTTTACAGTGCTGGCAGGGCTGGATGGGAATACTCCTTCAGCTTGACACACACAACAGGGCAGACCACACAGACGAAATAAACATCAGAGCATAAACACACTGGTGTTACTCTGAGGAGAGTCCTGCTGCTGACCCTCCCTCCCTGTGACTCTCCTTTTCAACAGGAGTGTGTGTGTGTGTGTGTGGGGGGGGGGGGTGGGGGGGGTGTCTGTTTGCAGACCCACCCAGGCAAGCCCATCCTTCAACCAGATGCTGCAGGAATGTTTCTTCTCTTTTGTGTCTCTCTGGTGTTTGTTTACACCTCTCGGCTGCCTCAAAGCAAGCGGACAGATCTCCTCATCTCCATTACAAATCTGACAAACAATGGGATGCAAGTTGCCAAACCCACAGACGCACAAAAGGAGCGGATTCGGTAACTTAAGCAGAAATGTTGGTGAAGTACAACAGGCCTGTTCACGTCAGCTTGCCGCCTTTTCTGCTTTGTAGTATCTAACTACACTGTGGTGATGGATGTTAACAAGAGTAAAGTACTGAATGAGGATCCAATGGAGAACTTTCTACACAACTGTTTATCATAGCATATCTTGCTCAAACAAGATTGAAAAATGTGCAAAGGAAAATCCAGAGCATGTCTGTAATAGAGAAAAACATCCTTTTACGTCCTTTTTCACTCTTATCTTTTAACAAATACTTGAACTGTGGCTTATGTCACGGTTATGCTCACTCACAAATTTTTCTGGTTAAGAGCGTTAGTTAAATGCCCAAAAATGTAAGCTGGAATTCAAAAACATATTTAAAACATCCCAGTATATCCATCTCTTTGATAGATACAGCCTTACTGTAGCCTTGGACCATCACCTCGTAACATCTCTACTCACCAAACCAGCCTGGGCAAACAGCAGCTGGACGGCCGTCTTGCAGGCTCCTCTCCAACTGGATGGGCAGACTTGGTTGAGGACCTCAGTGACGGGAGAGTCGTCCCTGGGGGTCACTCCGTTCTGGCCCAGTGCCTCCTTAATGAGCTGCAACATCGTGTGCTGAGGAGACAAAACACAGAGGGCAGTCAACAAAGCAGTCCGCCTTCACGGTCTGCTGACGTTACACTACAGACAGCAATAAAAAAAAAAAAACTAGAGATTTCACTCGTTCACACATTTGCTGAGGTTATCACACATTCCTTTTTTGGTAACTGACAGGGTAACGTTTTTGGGAGCTAGGTTGGTAACTAATAGAAGTAGTATGAAGCTGACCAGTTGAGTCGGGGACCATACCGTTTTCAGCTTGAGGTTTTCAGCCGCTGACTCGTTGAAGGACACTCCTTTGAGGAAATGTGAGCCGATCTGCACAGGGATGGTGGGCAGCTCGCATTGGATGGGCTGGGAGGTTGTCTGCATCCTGCCTGCCTGCTGGGCTTCTGCTTCACTGCAGCAGCCCTGTGCGCGCACACACACACACACACACACAAGCACGTAAACATATGCACAGTAGTGCACACATGATGGAGACATGCAGCTATGAAAGAATAATTGCTGATCTGTTAAAACAAAAAAGAAAAGAAAACCGTAAACATTTGCATGTGTAGATTTAAAGAATCAATAAATCTTTGGTTGTATTTTCCAGTTACACAATTGAAGAATATGCCTCGCTACATATCATTCTATTAATCTTCTTAGACTTCTTGAGAGTGAACCCACCTGTAAGGCTGCCTCCACAGCTTTGGGGTTAAGATAAAAGCCGGCCTTCAGTGCGTACTCACTATGGCCTAGGCTTTCAAGTGCTGCTTTGTAGGCCTGGAGATAGATGGAAAACATCACCGGCTATCAGTTCAACATTCATTCACCACCAAGAACAGTAGGTTTTGATGTTACACTTCACTGGTACTGTAATTTCATTAATGACATCATCAAGTTCCTGTTTATTAAACTGAAAATGGCTGTACTTTTACCAAGAGGTGATACTTTTTCCATAAATTCCATAAGTGGATTTCATTCTTAAAATGCATGTCAGGAAATCTACAAGTCACTGGGATAACAGTACGTGCTGTGGTCTTTGGGGTGATACTGTACCTGTAAAGCATTGTCAATCTTCATGTTGAGCTCCTTCAGCTGATGCTCAGGGATGTTTGTGTTGTTGGAGCAGAAGAGCTGCTGAACCTGGATGCCTGCCAGGCAGCCGTCCCGGCCCCTCTCTCTCAGCCTTGCCATGGCCTGAAGGCACAGCAGAGTACTGGGTCAAAGTGACAGCAGGGACATCTACACTACTACAGCACAATCTCACACAGAAATGCAAGAAATACTTGAGAAACAGTAGATTGTACTGCAAATCTTTTTTTTTTTTTTTTAAAGTGATAGCTTATAAGGATGTGTAGAACAAAATGTCTTTTAAAAAGGATAGCAGGATGTTTAATTTCTTTGCAATATATTAACTGATGTTAAGCACTGGGAAATACATCTTTTCAGAAGCATGTGTGTAGCTTATGACAAAAAGAGTCCTGGCAGCCTCCCTCTGCCTAAAAGGCCCCCCAGCACATTCTACCGGGGTCTATCGAGGCCTAGTCCCCTCCAGGGCTGACACTCTGCATGCCAGGGCTTAACAGACCAATCAACCCACCATTCTCCCCTCTGCTTCACTTTATACAACAAAGCTCAAAATGGGCCAGTGGGACTGATTAGCCTGCGGATTAGTTTGGTCCTCTTACAAAACTGCCTCCTTTACATCGGCTGGGGGTTAGAGAGGTACAGAACATAACACTGCAGGTCTAAAGACAAAGTGCAGCCCAAAAAAGAAGAAATAGGAAATTGAGGCTGGAAATCATAAACGGCTGGCATTTCTCAGGAATGTGTAACAAGTCAGCTTTTCACCTCACACAGACAAACCACATATGTCCAAAGCCCAGACCAGGAAGAGTCCTGGGGCGCCCTGTAGCTGCATACCTGAGCTGCACCTTTCCATGAGCGGGAGGCTTCCTCCAGCTCTGTGAGAGGCCCGAGATCAGAGCTTTGGGAGCGGGCATTGGCGCAACGCTCTTGGGCCTGGGCAAGAGCTTCTGCCAGGCAGGATTGAGCCACAGGCTGCACCTTCTGCAAAGCCTGTGACAGAAACTGGAAATGGACCTGCATCACCGTGAGGAAGCACCGACCCAGCACCTAGAAAGACATGACAGAGATTACTGTAAAAGCATAACTTATTCTCGTTCTTAACATGCTGGAGTAGCTGAGTCAGAATGTCTGACACACGAAACAATATGGATGCCCGCAGGCCAGGAAACTAACATGTATATCCACATGCCTTAGTGACTGGATAACACTCTGAATAACTGACTTCTTGTAATATTTAACTAACAAAACAACCTTTTGTTAGTGTTTTCTTTTCCACAACATGAGAACACAGAAAAAAAAACTTTATTGCACTATATGGGTTAAGCAGGGAATTTCCTTGGAATGAGGTGCAGTATATTATTTACATTTTTTACAATATTGTACATTTTAATAAATAATGTCACACCATTGAAAGTTTGACCCATCGACCACATTTGTCCACCTTGATTAAACTAAAAATCTGACAGCCTATGTCTTTCTGTCATGAAAGACATAGTGTACAGAGTACAACATCTTTCAAAATAAAGGGAAGATTTTTGCTAACTAAACATGTGCATGTGTTTGCATCTGTGATAAATTGTGTGCTGTAAACAGGTAAACATCTGAGAATGAGAACAATGTGTGCAGCAAGCAAAAGACAGAAGGAGAACATATTGGACAGAATAAGGTGTGTGTCTGTGTCTGTGTCTGTGTGTGTCAGAGCAGGCAAGTTAGTCCGTTTATACTTAGAAATTGGAGCCAAACAACATTTGATGCTATAGATCTATCTAGTCCTGTAGAGAAATGTACAACATTGGTAATCATAGTTGAAACAGTTGTCTGTAGGCAAAACCGTCGAATGCCAGAGGAACAGGGTAACTTCTTGAAAAACACCATCCTTGCCAAGACATGCAGTTCAAAAGTGTTCAAAATGTCTGTCAATTTATTCCATGTTTATCATATATTTTTACCAATTTATCTACTAAAGTGAGTAACATTTTGAAGGATCTATTTACAGAAATGGAATTTGATATGCTTAACTATGTTTTCATTAGTGTTTAATCACCTGAAAAGAAGAATCATTATGTTTTTGTTACCTTAGAAAGAGCCTTTTCTATTTATGAGGCCAGTAGCCCAGAACAGATGGACAGAACACTAGATAGGGCTGTTTGTGGTTGTTTTCATGGCTAGTTTCTTCATTGCACGAGCACAGTGAAGCATGGGAGTTGCAACCTGCAACTACACCACTAGTTGCCACTAAATCTTACACACTGGTCTTTTAACAGTAGTTCTGTGTCTCTATTATATTATATTGAGAAGTAATTTGCCCAAGACAAGTAGTAATTTTTAATTTTTCTAATTTGAAAATGTTCTGAGCTTATCAAGGAAAATGTGAACAGTGACATATAAGAATATATTCAATTGCAATTATTAGAACACTGCTGAAATATTGATTGTTCCACACCTACTGAGTTAAATGTCCAGGTGTGTTTTTCGTTTGGTGAGAGAATAGCCCAGGCTTAGAGGTTGTTTGTTATCCAGTTAGCAAAATAAGAGAAATAGGACACCACAGGGTCCACCGTGGTCACAGGGTTTTCTTTTTCAGGTAACTGCTGAAAATATCTCAAGGGGGAAGCTGAGTTGTAAAGACAGAAATATGTTGCTGCTTTCTGATGCAGACAGGAACAACAGGACACAGCTACTTTCATTCTTCACACATACAGCGTGGAGGGTTCAAGTCATGACTTTCTGGTGGCTTTACCATTTTCATCTCTTTCATTTTGTCATCCCATGTATCCACTATTTTTTCTCTGTGTATTTGCTAAAACGAAGTACTAGTGAGGACTGCAGGCGGTGCGACAGGAGAAGTCAGAGGATCAACAAAGTCACCTTGAATATCTGTAGCAAATTTCATGGCAATCCAAGTATTTGTCAAAATATTTCACTCTGAGCCATAAATCTCAACCTCATGGAAGACACAAGTGTTTGTAAAAAATAAAATAGCAATTCATCGAATGCTTTTAGCATAGCTGTGCTACTACTAGCATGGCTGACCAAGAAAAGAAAAGTTTGCTGTAAAATGCATAACCTTAAACTCAGACCTATGTATAAAATAGGACAGATATACTGCCTACCGCCTACTCCGAGCTTACTTTGGGAGGCTTGATAAACACAGGCCCAGATCCAGTGCGCACAAGAGGAGAAATTCCTACGCCTGCTGTTGACGCTGAGCAACTCATCAAAGCTCAATCAATCAACGGATTTAGTGTGTATGCAAAGTCGACAAATAATAAATAACAGAAGACACAAATAGCTTGATAATGAAGCTACATGTGTAGATGCAAGCCAAATAATGCAAACTAATATGACCTGCAGTGTATCCTAATGAAGTGCACAAAATTGCAAAAACACAGGCTGACAATGAGATCAAATGCAACTCAAAGTGTTACCAAGTTGTCTGCAATAACCAAGTGAGGGGAAAAAAATGAGGCCATGGCTACAGCTCGAGATAATGGATAACACATGTGATTGGCTGTGCAGTATCCCACACAGTCATGGAAAATATGAGAAATAAGAGAGCAGCAGAGCCAAGCCGACATTGGGCCCCTCTCAAGCCCAAACAAGGCCAATCATGAATCAATCAACATTTTTACTTCCATTTTCTGAGAACACCTGCACTTTAAGTGCACCGAATCTATGAGAGCGGTGTTCCTGAGATATAGACCTCTTCTAGGGAACGGGAGTGTGAGGCTGTTATAATAACCAGATGGTCATGTCCTGTCTGATCTGCGAATAAAAAGAAACAGCGCACAGCATAATATCAAGGGTAAATCAATGTCTTTTGCTGGCTCACATACTCTTTATTTTTCATTTATTTTTCTGGGTCTTGCCTTGTACACAATTATTCCAGGGAAAAAGGAAGGTCACAGTTGTCTTGAACTGGTCACTTAGTCATTTGTACTCTACAAACTGAAACTGATTTACTGAGGCACACCAATTATGATCACATCAGCTGAGTAAGCAAAAAAATGTAGAAATGTAATTTCTTTAGACTAAAAGTGGAGCTCTTCTTTAAAAGGATCATCATGATCGGGCTAAAAGAGATATTTTTTTAAAAAGGTGCCCTGTGGAGTAAACTAACAAATGTTTTTATATTCATTGTTTCTCACCAAAACCTCCGTGGCTGGCAAATTAAGCCAAGACAGAAGTAACAAAAAGTGCAGTTCCTCCAACGGCCACTTGAAACCGGGTGCAGAAGTGATCCATCTCCACAAGGCTCCCTATTAAAATGCCCAATTTTACAGCAGAAAATCACAGCCTGATACAAAAACGGTTTTATAGCTAACTTCCCCCATTAATGACAACTGTACGGGGGGGATTTTTACATAACTCACACGTTAAAGTTATATTACGTTTTTTAACTTTAAGGCTTAAATGTATGCATAATGAAGGGAACGGACACTTTGAGTGACAGGTGGGTGCCGTCACAGGTGGCTGTTTTTAGTAACCAGGCTTTATTCAGCCCGCCTCAGCAAAATAGCATGAAACCATCAGCAAGTTCAAATCAAATCCAATCCCATTAACTATGTTCCATGTTTAGTTTAGTTGTCGTTCGGTGTCTAAACTGTGTTCAAACTATTAGCCTGTTCTCACAGGGGCTTTTTTTCCTCTCTAATTGTGTCTTTTTCCACAATAAACAAGTCAAAACAGCCAACGAACATAACCCTTACAATAAATACACCATATGTCTCACTGCAATTAGATGAAACTCTCATATGATATGACCACATTTCATGAACAAACCAGCAACTGTATAAAAAGAAGACAGCAAGAGTGTTTTTAACAGCTGAAGACAAAGGGGTTGTTTTTCCAGTGCGTTTCCAGTGTGCGCTGAGGTTGGCTGAGAGAGCTTATGCAGTCATCTGACGAGAGCAGCCATGAAGGTCTCTCTGGTCGTGGGGACCTCTCTGTCTGCCTCTGGTCTTCGCTCTGTGGTTTAAACTCATAAGCTCTGCAAACGGCCTCTAAACAAACCGTGACATTTTCATGCATATTTGGCAGCAGAGTCACTCTGAGCAGCCAGGGAGCCGGGCTCTGATTTAGAAAAAAAAGAGGTTTGTTTAGCGGACTGCACTGACCTGAACTTTTGGGGGCTCTTGGTAAAAAAAAAGGGGGCAAAAGAAGGAAAGAGAAGAAGGAGAAGTGAGCTAGGGAACGCAGGGGGAAAAGTTTCACATTCCACAACTCCCCAAACACAGAAATGCAGTTGGTTCGTTCTGAAGACCTCATAATACATCCAGCTGCCAAACAGCATTCCTCGACTCATGCAGACAAAGGAAAATCCCTTTTACAGTCACAAATACATCACATCGTAAGAAGAGGCTAAATTAGTCGCAATTATCACAAGCTAGGTCTACACAAGTTTAATTTGTGACTACAAAGAACTTTCTTCTGACACTTTCCACTTTTTAATGTTGATACATTCATTTTCTACAGACACGGATTTCTGTGTCAAGGACTTATTTTGTGACTCTCTAGTTCAGTAAACCCTGCCCTACAAAAGTAAAACACAAAAAATATCTTATTGCTTCTACTGTCACCATGGTCTGTCCTATGAATACAAACACATTTTGGGATTACAAGAAACCACTTATTGTGCCATTTAACCCCACTTTTGTACCTGGCACAGTATACTTCACTCTACCAACATAATATTATTGTGTACATGAAGTACTTTCTCAGAGTTTAATACAACTAACACTCAAATAAGGCCATTGTAAAGTAAAGTATTAACGTGTTTCCTTCTCTGCTTTAACAAATGTACCCTTTATGCCCAGGGCCAGACACCAAGTGTGACTGCCAAGCCATGCGGTCTAAACTTTCACAGACTTGGGCTTCCTCTAATATTCATCTGTGCATATCCAAGCCCACAGAGAGTCAGATTTACTGACTGCGGTGCAAAAGTGTTTCCTGTTTTGGGCTCAGCCACATCCACTGAGGTCCTGCAGCCCCTCCAGTGTCTCGGCCGCAGCCATGTACCCAGTCGCTGCTACATGCTAAAGGATTATGGAAACACTAATGACCCCCATTATCTTTGCCTTATATTGTAGTGTTTCACCTATACAAAGCCTCCTGTGGCACACAGCTACGGGTTGGTCACAGGTGCCACAGAATCCGATATAAAAGGGGATTTCTTGGTCTGAATTCTTAATTTTGCACTAAGTAGTGAACAGACTGACAGGTGAAATAGAGAAATGTCTGTGTAGTAAAGAGGGATTCGCCAAGGAACCTGTAGGTAAAACAGCAGAGTCTGAATGCAAGAAAGCAAACAAACTTGAGGTGAGATGGCGGTTAATATTTTAGGCCAAAGGATGTTAAAATGTGTAACTGGCCTTGGTTAAGCCAATATTTACATGTAAATTGTAAAATATCTTTACCCATTTCCTATAAATATTTATGGTTTGTATATTCCTCTGTAGTATTTTATATACTGACAATGGCAAGAGGCGTGTCAGACTGGAACTGTTTTATAATCTTAACATCTTGCACTATCCACTTCCATATACAACAATTCCAATTTGATTTTGACTTTTTGAATTGTTTTTCTTTTGTAATTATACTTATTAACTTCCCAGTACACCTGATATCAAGCCTGAATATGATTATATTCAATAAACTGTAAGTCTCTATTTGCTGCCAAAAGACAACAGTTAAGGATGAGGCAGGGAGTTCCACAGGCTCACAATTGTGTATTCAATGGAGGATAAATAAGCAGATGCAGTAATGATAAGGAAGGATGAGGTTTAGGCCGGGGGCTGTTTGGGTGTGGCGCACAGCTGAAAATACAGCTACTTGATGCTGATGGCACCACATGATAGGCTGTCTATTAGGGCAGCACAATTACAGCAAAATTGCCAATTGGAATTACTCCGATAAATACTGTAGTTCAGATTTTCTATCGCAATTATCAATTCATAAGGTCTCTTCATTTTAGAATCACTATGTCCAGATCTTTTGCAGGTGCCCATTTCAGACTGATGCTGTAACCTCAAATGAACCTGTGTCTGAGGTCTGACAGTGTCAACATGCTTTATTCAACCTGGCTTCATGAACCTCCTGACCTGGGGTTAAAGTGGGTCTGACACAGCTTAGACTTCAAAGACAAGGAAAGGGGTGAGCAGAGGTTTCAACTATAAGATTATACTCCGTTATTATTGCTAGTTACTTCTAGTTCTCTCAGCCATAAGGTCTGCTCCTCTCAACACAGTGCAGATGTAGACCCCTTTCTTGTGTGAACAGCAACAACCACAGATTAACCAGTCTGGAATCAGTGGTCAGACACAGGTGTGTGTGAATCCCTCTGTGACTTTTGGGAAAAGGTAAAACTTCTGTGATCAATCAGATGTGACAAAAGACAAATGGAGAAAAACAACAGTGCAAACGAGAAAGAGAGAGACATACAAAAGCAATTTGAGACAGAGAGGGAAAATGATTGCCACATCACAGCTGAGCCCTTTGGTTATTTAGTGCATCAGTCTTCAAATCCTCTATTAAACTCACATGAAAAACACCCCAGCTACGATGTTTCACATTTTACACACCAGCAGATTCAGTGCTGTGGAAAGATGGTGTGGTATTCAGAGTGACAAAAATGACTTTTCTTCTCACATCCTCAGTGTTTTTCACACCTCACCTTCAGATCCTGACACCAGCTTAACACTGGGCGTGAGAAGCCTATTTGAGCCAGGAAACACTGATTCATGGAGCTAGCCTTCTGACAGAGGGCAGCTAAGCATCTTAGCACTACTGCTAGAAGACGAGTCATGAGTAAATGAATATGATAAAGTATGTGGTGTTCAACTATAGCGCCTTAGGTTGTGAGCGTAACAAATTTTTTCCAGGAAAGCAAACAGTGGACTTGAATGTCAATACGTTTTTTTGTTTGGTGGCAGACATGAGACGGGGGTCACTTTACTTAAGTCAACACAATGTGACATACAAACACCTTCAACAAGTGGTTGAAGTGAGATGGTGTGTGATTCCTTGTGAGCACCTACCTCAACATCCTGCAGGCTGAAGTCATTCTGGTCTTTGAAGTTGGCGGCCCCGGCGCTCAGCTCCATCAGCATCTTGGCGATCTCAGGCTTTATTGCTGCAGTCAGCCTGCTGGCCGCCTCCATGACGTGTTCCTGCACGTCCTTCAGTTGCATAGCTGCTTTGGAATAGTGAGAGTTCCTGAACACACTGCTGAACAGGTCTGTGAGGAAGGCGCTGGCCCGGCAGAACACGTTGAGTGCATCCAAATATTTGGAGATGCCTTGCTGGATGTCTGCAACCGCGGTAGTGGCGCCAGAAGGAGGTGGGTGGCAGCTGCCAGGCATGCCCACCCCGGTGCCCATGGGCGAAGAGGCCGAGCAAGAGGAGGCCAGGGAGGCGCTCAGGGTCCGGCTCAGCTCAGGCATCTGGTACTGCTGGTGCTGTTGCACTTTCTGCTTGGACCCGCCGAGCAAAAAGCGACGCTTGTAGTCCATTTTACTTTCCTGCGCACTACAACAATACATAAGTGGTGCGACAGCACCGGAAGCTGCGGTTTTTAGTTTGTTTTTGCCCCGCAAAGTGCTCTTGTCCTTTTTACAAAAACAATAAACCCAACGGTGCTGAAACTGTTCAAGTTACGTAAAAAGACAGCTCAAGGATTTCACCTGCCAGAGGCTCATCTCAGTGTGCCCTGTAGAGAGGCAGCACAGACTTCGGTGAGGTTGGAGGTCGATCAAAAAGACTGGCGAGTGAAATGCTTACATGCAGCCCTGCTGCAGATACGTCAGACCCAGCTTAAAAACAGCACAGACACTTCTCCAGATTCTCTGTTTCCAGCTTCAAAAAAATTTATCATAATAGGCGAGGAAAAGTCAAAAACACTCCTTAGTTTACTTTAAGTGGTACTACAGCCAAGTTTTAAAGTGCATTAACTTTCCTTCAGAATGGGGGGGGGATCCTTCTTCATACAGTATATAGAGTATATACACATATGTATTTACATATATAAAGTTATACCAGCCTGCACTAATAAAAGTAGAAAATCCTTTTAAAAGCTGAGAGGAAAAATGAAAATTGAATCCACGGAAAATGAGACACTGGTCAACAGCACGGAGGGAAAATGACAGTAATAAAACAAAACAAAAAACAAGTACGTAAATGCTGGAATCAGAGGATGTGGTTTCGGCTCTTGTGCACTGGCTGGTAAAGGAGCTGTGGGAGGCGCAGGGCAGACAGATCCAGTCCGTCTCAAATCCTCTTCACAAAGCAGGACTCTGCAGGCAGTGAGCAAGTGGCCAGCTGATAGCTCTGTCTGCCTGCCTGAAGTCTCCAGCAGCTTCCTGGTTTCTCTCCTGTCTGCTGGCTGAGGTAGATATTACTCACCGCGGAAACAAGTGTGCTTCCAGATCTCGCTGTTCTCCGCGGATGCAGATTAGAGCGACAAAAGCACAAATGTATCTGTAAGGCCTCTAGGTCATTTCCTAAGGGAGGAAGGGGCAGAGACACAGAAGAGAGGGTTAACATCACGTCAGAGAGGAAGGATGAGCTTTGTTTCAATTGTTTTACGGTTACACCCCCGAATAAACTGGATTGCCATTTGCAACTCCAAACATAACCAATAGATATGCAACTACTTTACTACTTACTTTCAATTAAACGTTTAATGACAAGTCTGAATGTTATGAAGAGTCAAAGGAAAATAATTTGTCAAATAATTAGCCTTTGAAAACAGTAGGTCTAGCAATAATTCATATTCTTGTGTAAAAACCTCACTGGCTGATCACACTGAAAGCAGAATTGAGGAAGTTCACAATAATTATTTCGCAATACAAAAATCGGGTAACATGAAGCTTGGATCCAAAAATAACGTATTATTTATAAGAAATGGCTGTTCCACTTGAAAACACAAGATGAACATGTTTGAGCTTGAGTCATCACATTTATGTGCAGTCAAACTGTGTTTCTCTACAGTGGCTGACCACTGGCCAGAAATGGCCTTGTTTCCCTTTCTAGTCTGTGGTGTGCACCACAGTCACAATCTGAAAAAATCTTTTACATTTATAAATTGGCTGGTTGAATCGAAATAAGGTCTCATCTATGTAGATGATTTATATGATATGTATGCCGTGGCAGACAAAAAAATGCTATTTAATTTCAGTTGTAGAAATGTATCAACTGTTTGACTTCAACCCTCCATTGCCACTAGTGGCTGGTCCACTTCCTTCCCAAATGACACAAATGAATGAGACAAAACTTTACAACTGTTGTAGCAGATGCCTTACATTTACATGCAACACGCTGTACCAAGGCCAACCTAACCAGTGAAAGCTACTTCTAAAAGTTACAAATATGGTTTAAGAAGTTTTACTAAACTTGTTTTGTAGGAGTAGACCATTTTTTACTTCTGTTTGTTAAAAATCTTCGGGCAGGTTTACACCCGACCCTGGAGCGGTTAGTCTGAACGCCACACTCGAACTACAATATGCGAACAACATTCGAACCAATCACAGGAAGCTTATCACTGTATGTGTCACATCATTGATTAAAAAAACATTGCCTCCCTTTTCAGGAACACGGTGATTGCACTCTCAGCTTAGCCCCCGACCAGAAGCTCAAATAAATGCCATCACTGATAAGACAGCAAGATTTTTCTTTTTATCCTAAAGTATAGTCTTTACGTTATGTTTTCCTGTGTGGTGTCATACATTTGTACGATGTGTTTTGAGATTTTTTTTTTGTTGTTGTTTATTTGAACAAATTGTGTGTTAGTTCAAATTTGTGCAAATTCTTTATTTTTTGGACCTTTTGGTGTGAACCCGCCCTTAAAATCCCCTGAAGATGAAACGGCTCCAAATATCTTAATACGTTTTATTACAACACAACTTACATTCTGCAGCTCACAGTTTAAATTTAATTTACATCATGGTAAGATTCAAGCTACATAATAACTAGTTTTGTTCAGTTGTAGATACATCAATAAAGTGATAACAGCAATCCCATACTACAAATTGCAACATCCATAATATTTTGGCATGTATCAACTGTTGTAGTCACAGAAAAAACTGTTATTTTCCTGCTCTGATTGAAAGAGAATGATATGTAGCCACATTTCTGTAAACTTGATGGTAATATTATATTACAGTTTAGTAAAGAGCTGGGGTTTAAAGTTGTACATTTCTAGACGATTACTAACACCATACCTCACAGAGAGCGTCTCTGAAAAGAATCTCTGGCAGTGTCTGGTTTAGCAGAACACAGCTGCAGAGAGAAATTCCTGCAAGAAGCCATTGTTGGAAGACACAGCAGCGTCTGTTGAGCTCCACATAGTAGGAGTCACAATACTCTCATTCAATACCCAAGCATTATGTGACTTGTCCTTCTTCCTTTGGCCTTTTCACTTGATTATGAATATAATATTTTACATTGTCAAGATCAAGGGAAATTTGGCCTGAACAGACAAAGATCAGCTGTGGCTGCAGATTTTCAGAAATGCACGTTTAAGACAGTTAAATAAGATTTCTGACAAGGAAATAATACAACTAGTGATCTGCAATCTGCAAACTCTACAAAAAAACAAACAGTCTTTGTTAATCAAGCTGACAGAAACTAGAAATAAATAAATTGTCAGAAAGTAATTTGTTTGTCTTCCTTCTATTTCCATTCTTCCAAACTAACCATACACTGGACAAGGTGAAAACTTTAGGCTAGTAGGTGTAGCTTTCAAAGAAAACAGTCCATCACTAAACCTGTTCCTTGGCTATGTAGAGCCCCAGTGGCACTGAAGTCGATATGTACACTCGTGATGATATTTCACTCAATGGTATATTGAGACTGAATATCAACACGACAGACTAATCTGTGAGATACACAGCTCCCTCTGTGGAACATTCAGACTCTGTTATCTTGTCGCAGCATGCTGAAAGCTTCTGTGTTTTGGGATGAGTCAGGAAAAGCAACTTGTGGAAAAAAAAACACCATCACCATGCAGCCTGCTGTCATTGCACTCTAAGCAGCTGCGTAGTGGCCTTACATGCGTAGCTTCCATTATGCATCCCAGCCAACATTCCCCTGACCTTCAAACTTCACTTCCTTTCGCAAACAGAGGGGTACGCCCGGGCAAAAATCAGCCCACCCTCATCTGCCCCTGGCCGTAAAGTGGAGAGACAGAGCCAAGGGAAGCTAGTGACCTCCTCACGAAGGGACGACAGAGATGTGCTTCCCATTTTTAACCCTTAAAAAGGTCAAATTTAAGTTATTATTTAAAGAAGTTGCACACTACTACTACACAGACACATTGCATGCACTTACATTAGAGCCATGGGATTTTATCTTGCTGATGGGCTCCGCAACAACACTTGCTCTGGCAGTGTTACTTGTTTACATCTAAGGCTTTCCAAGGTTATTTCCACCGTAGTGTTCGTCTAAACAAAGCTTGGTGACTTCCACAACACAGAAGCTGCTGTGTTAACTAGTTCAATTATAGATCACATCAGAGGTTGGTTGTCGTCTCAATGTGGTAAACAATTTTTTCAAGATCTATTTATGTACTAGGGAACCGATGCGGACCTTGTAATCCACAGAACCATATCAAATAAAGTCTTCGAAGTCATTATAAAACCTAGTGTTTCCATCAGTTACATTCATTTAGTCACAGCAGGCTGCTCTGATTCATCCACTTGTGTTTTCCTATGTGAGCAATTACCAATGGAGTTAATCTGGTACCAAACTGCACTGTGGCTGTACTGCTAATACCCCGACGGTATATCACACTACAGATCTACATTTGGCCATTGTCCACAATCACTTTTCAGCCTTTAAGCTACAATCACAGGTTTAAAAATGGTTTTCTGCACTGCACACAAATATACAGCATCAAACAACAAACTGGGCCTATAAATTCAAGGTGCCGGGTGAACGGCACAAGCAAACGGTCTACTTGTTACTCAGTGGCAGGTTGAGAGCAGCTAACTAGTGCAAAAGTGCAGACCTCTAAATCCCATGGATTACAGCCGCAGGACCTGCCAGGTGCCCCACAATGCCTGCTAGTTGACATAGTTAATACGATATTAGCTTCCGCGAAGTAAACAGGAAAGCCGGGCTTAGCTAACCGGGGGCTAACCACTCCAGTTCAGTTTCACACTGTTGGGCTACATAACGAGTACAGAAATACAATATGTGCAATGTGTGTTGTTTGAAAGAAGACTGAACAGGTCAGTGAGGCCTCCAAAGGGAAAATACCTTTCATTCAATGTACATTTCACACAATAATCTTTTGTTTGTGGTGGTGGGCCTGCAAACCACCTCGGGATGGAATTTCATATATTTGGTTTCACCTAATTTCTTACTATACTTAGTTATTTATATAATTTTCTCGGAAATACTATTGTCATATGCAATGCAGAATGAAATGGAAGGCCTGCTAGCGGCTGTAAATAATTAAAATGGATTGTGTGGACAGTGGTGAGACAGCTTTAGGAAGGTGGCTTGGAAGACCAAAAGTCTTAAGTATTTAATCTTTGAGAAAACATTTTCTCAAAGAAAAGCTAAACGTAGACTGGCTGCATGTGGTTTCAACTAGTTCTGTGGATTTTGACTTCTCTGAGAGTGAAAACCTCATCTTGGTTTGATGTAGTTTGTGGCTCCTCGCTCGTAACAGTGAATAACAAAAGTAGGAACTGATTAAGTGCAGTGAGTCACAGTCCATTCAGCCTGAACAACAAAGCCAGATTTTTTGGGAGAAAATTGTGGGCTACTTGCTTTGTTACATGGTTGTTCCAGGCAGATATAAGTCATCTATGTAACGTTATTAGAGAGCTTTAGCGGTCTACATTTCCTTCCTGGCTATAAAACTCCGTAAGCAGAGGTTATCCCAAGAGAAGCAGTCACGGCATCAATATTAATGAGGCTTGCTGGCTTCTCGGGGTAGCTCTATTGGCTGCCAGCCTTCTGTTGCAGGGCACACTGTATTAGAGATTGCACCCAAACAAACACATGTGATAGGAGAGTCCCTCAGGATGCGCACTGGAGTTGTGCCAGCACATTTTAATGTCCTTCCTCCAGCAGGGGCTGCTTCAGGCTAATGTTAGCTCTACTTCCCCACTCACTGTTCATGTCAGCTGCTCAGCTTCAACAGGAAGGGGGTTAAGGTTTCCTGGAGCAAGCTCCCTGTCGCCAGTAACAAAAACGTCAAACCAAGTATGCCACTGGGTAGAGGTATGTAGTAAATCATAGTACCAAGTATGATTTACCTGTCTGGGCAAACCCCCGGGCAAACAACTGCAGCTATCTGACAGAGGGCTGGGGAGGGAATTAAAAAGTGGTAGCATTGTTGTTTTCACTTTTGTTGTAAATCAAATAACCCACCAAAAAAAACAAATATTTGTTCTTTCTTCACAACGAACATGTATACAACTTCACCGCTCTGCAACAACCTACTTTGCTTTCATTATGGGAAACACATTTATACCTGGGATGGTGCCCA